ATGATCAATGCAATGAGTTTTATACAGCAAATCCACACAGGAAAGCTCATTCTATGTTTCCATATTAGGAGTTGTTTTTCTCTCTACAAACATTTCTTTGTAATTGACCACATTCTTCTTAAGAAGCAGTTTTACCTTGGATACCGACAAAAGGAAGTATATAAATAAAAGGTGTGAAATGAGCTAGAGATCCTGGTGTTGTAGCATTAATATCAAAAAGTCAAATAATATACTTGCAATTGTTCTTTCATACTGTTGCTGGGAAAAAGGCATTTTTCAAAGCCAACTAGTCACTATCTTATACACTTTAAAGAGGTAAACGCTAAAATTCTTCCTCAACTGAAAACCTACACTTCAGAAAAAGTAGTTATCTATACAACTCATTCAGACCTGATTACAAGAATCAAAGACACTGTTAATTAAATAATTACACCAGCTATGAAACTAAGAGCTCAAGTGGCTTACTGAAGATAATAGGCCCCCCCAGGAGTTTGACATAGTTGATCAAGGCACAGTGTTCTAAATATGTATTAATGTATTACTCCTTATTAGTGGAATGCCTAAGATACACAAGAGCAGAGTCATAAAGAAAACAATGTCCTGAAAGGTAGGTTTTCATTAAAGTGTGGATTCATTGCATGAGCACCTGTCAGATTAGATATGAAGCATAGGACCAGTAACACACGTATACAAATGTAGTTTTAACACAATTCAAAAAAGCTACAGCCTCTCAGGCAAGATGGCACATCAGCAGCTGAAGATTGACTTGCTGTTGTCCCGGAGGTCTTTCTGCCAGCGCCTTTTTCGGTCTGTGGTTCCTGGATTACTAGTTCCTCTCCGGTCTCACAGAAAGCAGCTTCCCTTGCTCCATCCGTGTGGTGTCAAGGGGCTCATGGGGGGGGAGGAGGAGAGAGCCCACCTGTACAGGCTCAGCTCTTTTTATCCCTAGACCCTCTCCGACAGCCTATCAGGAAGAAGCCTGGGTCGTTTGAGAACTGCGAGTACGCCGATACTCCAGCTATGAGAATGAGATCTCCAGCTATCATGGCACTATCGGTTCTTGTTTGCATTCCTGCTCACGCCTCTGTCCAAAGTCTGGTCCAAACTGGCTCAGCAACCCTTCACACCACCTTTATGTGCCAATACCTAAAGGGTGGTAATTGTGTCATGTCAGGACAAGTGCTCAACTTCAGCACTTACTAATTGTTTTTGGGCTCACTGTCTCTGTTGGAAAACTTTGAGGCTGAAGACTTTGGGGAAAGCACACATGGGCACAGACCCAGCCACTAATGGAAACTTAATGAATCACAGCCTGTTCCTCCTTCATCTGTTGGCATTCTGTCACACAGGGCTGGCCCTAGCTTTTGGGGGGCCCTAGGCAAGATCTTGGGAAGAGGCCCCTCCAGATCACAGTTTGCCATGACACTGTTCTCAGCTCCCACCCCAAACTTTTTTGCTATTTAGAATAATTAATTTGATTATTAACCAGTTTGTAAAACAGAATAAGTAGTACACATTTGACAAATACAGGATAACGTGTTTTAACATTGAAAGTAATGCCGTGAAACGTGAAATCTATTAACTTCTAGTAAAACAGCTCATGTAGTCGACGTGTCTAGCTACAAAATGCCTACCACTCGCTAGTTACGTTGATCTGATGGACTCAAAACCAAATGAAATACAAATGCTTTTTCACAATGACTTGATTTGGCGTAGCTCCGTTATGTGATCAATAATATTCCTCTTCTGTTCTGCGCTTCCTTTTCTCAACACCCCGATAGGTACAGGTACTGCATGTCCTTCTGGAGAAGGATGTACGTTTACCAGTGCGACTACCTGATTTTAATTTGAAACCATTACAACATACCTGTAGTTTGCAACACAAGTAAAGGATCACTTGTCATGTTCCATTACGTTAGGTATAATGAAAGATTAATAAACAGAATAACAACTTTCGGAAATTACGGCGAGAACGAGAGTCATTTACAACATAAACAAAATGAATGACTACATTGGCATTCACAACCAATATTATAGTTTATAACTAACAAACTTGAACAGCCTAGATTAGCACAACAGTATCTGTGCATCTAATGAGGGACTAATTCTTTCTGTACATTTGTTACAGTAAGCCTTTATTTGTTACAATCCTCCAGAGATAAAAGGAAACATTTCTCTCCAGATTATTTCGATTCAGTTTTAGGTGGGGAAAAACTTACAATTGATGTCACTTGGGGGTTGGGGGGAACTCCATCGGTGTTGATACAAATTCAGACTCCCTGAGCTACGCACTTATATTGTCCCACAAAAACGAGGCACACCTGTATATCTTCAGCATTTCCTTTCCTAATTCCAGATTCCTAAAACTCTCATTAACTATGACAGGACTTTATCGCCCCACTGTGGCTGTATGGAGAACTACAGATCATTTGATGCAGCCTTATCTTGCTATAAAGACAGTAAATAATAATAATTGCTTACACTTATATAGCGCTTTTCTGGACACTCCACTCAAAGCGCTTTACAGGTAATGGGGATCCCCTCCACCACCACCACCAGTGTGCAGCATCAACCTGGATGATGTGACGGCAGCCATAGTGCACCAGAACGCTCACCACACACCAGCTATCAGTGGGGAGGAGAACAGAGCAAAGAAGCCTATTCATAGATGGGGATTATTAGGAGGCCGTGATTGGTATGGGAATGGAAAATTTGGCCAGTACTCCGGGGTTACACCCCTACTCTTTCTGAGAAACACCCTGGGATTTTTAATGACCACAGAGAGTCAGGACCTCTGTTTTATGTCTCATCTGAAGGATGGCACCTGTTTACAGTATAGTGTCCCCGTCACTATACTGGGGCATTAGGACCCACATAGACCACAGGGTGAGCACCCCCTGCTGGCCCCACTAACACCTCTTCCAGCAGCAACCTTAGTTTTTCCCAGGAGGTCTCCCATCTAGGTACTGACCAGGCTCACACCTACTGAGCTCCAGTGGGGCTGCCAGTTGTGAGTTGCAGGGTGATATGGCTGCTGGCAGTTCTTTAGCAGAGGAAGGAAAAAAGCATGTGTAGTGTCCCAGCCAATGTTTTCTCTAAACTGCGGTTTCTGTGAGCAACCTCATGATTTTGACTGAGTTTGGTTTTGGATTACTCTCTGGTTTATTTGTTCTTGCTCTGGCTTTTCAAACTTTTGTTTGAGGTTTCACAGATTCGACCCTTGCCTGTTTACTTCAGCCTTGAACTGTGTTTCACTGTTCATTCAGCTCGCCAGCTCTTCACTTACAGTACCTGCCATTCGACCCCGGCTTCCTTTTCAGTGTGATACACTTTGTGTAAATCCTGAATATTACACTCTCTTTGCTGTAACACCCTGCCTGACTGCTTTCTTTGCCTGTGCATGTGTCTCCGTCTGCACTTGGGTGCGCTCCACTGCCCTAGATGGCTGCACTTAGTGTAGTAAATGCAGCATTGTTATAACTGTAAGCTGTGGGGAAAACTGGCTGTAGAAAATATGTGTTCAGTTAATCACTGATGTGTACTAGTTTACTCTTTATCTTTCTCCAAAATACTAGATGCAGCTTCAGTATGTCAAGTTTCCAGCATGTTCCACGGCCTTTCAAAAGCCTTGAGAAAGAGTCCACGCTGGATGTTATCCACACCTGTTTCATGCCACAGATGATCTTTTGAAATGTCATTAATTAGCCGTGGGTGAAATTCAAATTGATCAGAAGTGCAAACGGTCGGAAGCATGTGAGTTTTGTTACCCAGGTTCCTGTCTTTTCACTGGATGAATTGCCAGACATGTTCCACACATCGTCAGCTTTGTTCGGGCACAGGCTTTAGATTTCCCTTTTCTTGCTTGGCTACCAAGACTCTTTTTTTCGGATTTACCATTTGTGCCGTGTCTCCGCGCCTCCTGGCTTCGACCCCTGACTATGTTTCAGAACTGTTTTGATTTGCACTTTCACCAGTCGGTCGGCTTCCTGGCTACGAACCCCGCTTTCGGATCATGACCCTGAACTGTGTTTTGTCTATTGCCCGCTGCCTGCTCGGCTGATGTTTTCACCCAGAAAATGAGTTCTTCACTCGAGCCGTTTATTTCCACTGGCATCTGTAACTACATACCTGTTTCACCACTGTAACTTCCAACATCCCCTGAAATCTCTGTTTTGGATTCTGCTGCTCCAGAGGCCATCTCTTCAGCCCCAGATCTGTCCTGGGCTCTACCTCTGGCGCAGTCAGCAGGTGTCCTACAAGCACCTCTTTTTTCTCTTTTTCCGGTGCTTGCAAGCCTTCTATTTCAGACAGGGACCTCAGTACCTGTCTGAACTATTATCGTCCTACTCCACACCTCACAACCTTCGCTCTTCTAAGTCTGCTCTCCTAACTGTCCCCCAAGCCCGTCTACATTGTATGGGTGACAGGGCCTTCTCCTGTTATGCCCCCAAGCTCTGGAACTCTCTCCTCAAGGATATCAGAGAGTCACCTTCTCTAAACTCCTTCAAATCCAGACTCAAAACCCTCTTCTTCATAAAAGCCTTTACTTAACTGGTCCCATTCTTCACCCCTCTGCTTTTCTTAGTATCACCATCCATGGTCTCCTCTATACAGTATATTGTAATTGTGTTTTATCTTGTGTATTCTTTTTATTTATTGTTGTTGTCATTCGTAAAGTGCTTTGAGAAGGCACCTTTAAAGGTGCTATATAAAATAAAGTTTATTATTATTATTATTATTATAATTTTACAAACCATCAAGCATCCTCCCACAACCCCATTTTCCTCTCTGCAGTGCTGCTTTATTTACTCTGTAAACATCCTAAAACACATCTGATTCTTGGATGTCATAATTCCTCATTTAAAACGGTGAATAGCAGATGTCACATTTTTCGTTTAACAAGGAGGTGCCAGAGCTGTGCTTAGAGAACCCAGAATTCAGACAGTCTAAAACTGAGAGATGTCAGAGCTGAGCTTCAGCAATTATACCACACCTTATACCACAGATTATACCACATCTTTATTTTAGTCCTTGTCTCTACAAAAATTAACAGTTACATTACAACAGTTACTTGATTTAATACAGGTAGAGATGAAGACTGGTCTTGCATTTAAGTTCATTATAACAAATTGTTTCCTTTGAAAAAAGAATATTTGCATATATACCAGACAGGAACATCACAGGTATTAAACTTAGGTGCCTTAAAAACATTATTGAGTAAAATAAGACAATATCACTATTTGGTTCAAGATAAAAAATGTAAAAAAATAATACACAGCTTTCTTTCTAACATATAGTTTACAAAAATCCTTATTTATTGATAAAATCTAACTATAAGATACATTATTTTAGAATGAAACTCAGTCTTTTATATACATAGGCAGAGTTGCACAAGTTCCTGAATAACAAGATCTGATATTGCATGTGAACTATGAAACTGACAAGTCAGAGTTGAAAACTCTGCAAAAGAACAAGTAAAAGGTTTATTCCATGCTGAAAAGAGGAGAGAGAAAACACAACGTTTTAGCTGTGAAGCCTTCTTCAGGTGTGAGTTGAAAACTCTATTGTGAGCCAAGTTATAATGGAAGAAAGGTTCTTGTCTGTTACATGAAGTTGCCTTTCCAAAATTACTTTGTGTTGTCTAAAATCATCTCTGAAAAGTATCCTTTATCCTTAAAAATATCCTTTTGGAAAGAACTGAGGACCACAGGTGTAGAGTGGGATACACTTCAAACATTCTCATCCTGGATCTTCATCGATGGCTTATCCTGGAAATAGCCGTCATAAATTCTGTGACATAAATGTTTTCCTTGGCACAAGCACATATTTAGTTTGTTTGTTGATTCATAAGGCATCATACTTCAAAGATTTACTGGTGAACTTGATTAATGCTTGATTAATGAGCACTGGTATTCTGTACTCTGATGTCGTTTGCATCCATAACACAGTTCTTCTGCTGGTAATGGTCTATCAATCTCTTCCAAAGTGCACTGCAGGTCAGTAAATCTTTGTTTCCTGTACAACACATGAGTGCAAAGATGTAGATGTTTACCACAAATACAGCACATAATAAAAAATTGTGTTAACGCCATTTAAGTCAGAATTCATGTTAGCATTTAATGTCAATTGGTTGACATAGAATTTCCTATTCACAAGCCATTAAATGAGGTGGAAGAAATCAAGTTAATAAATACGCAGGGAAGGAATGACTATTTTAGAGCAGGGTTCATGGAATAAAGTGTAGTCATGTGATTCATTATAAAAAAATAAAAGAAAATACTCTACATTTCCATTTATTCAAGATATTGATTGTGCAACAGGTAACCATTTTCAGGAGGTAAGAGCAGAGAGCTGAATGAGTACAAACTAGCCTGGAGAAGCCTTTCTCACTGCTGCCTTATGTTGCTTTAATAGGACACCCAGTATTCTTCCTGTTTCCCAACAAGTAACTTCCTGAGTCCTTGTAGAAATTAGCCAAGACAATGTCCTTAATCTACATCACCATCATTATAATTTGTAGACTGATCAGTGCAGTTTCACACCATTGTAAATTGTATTTATTGTCTTTAGCCATAAATTGTACATTGCCAAGATGCACAATATTTTTTTTAATACAAATGGCATAGAACACATAATAGAAATGTTAAAAAAATCATACCGTAAATTGGTCAAAAACAAAGAATAATAAAATGAATTATAAATCAAAAGGTATATTGAGAAACAAGGCTTTTAAGGGTTTGAGCCATGTTTCACAACAATGATTGTGCACAGGAGAAAGTTCTACAGCACTGTGTGAAACCTGGTGTCAGATTTAGAGCTGCTCTAACTTTGTAAAGAGGATCTGATAAACTGGAACTATCCCACTCAGCGGTATACATGAGCAGGAGAACCTTTAAGTCCACTTTAAGTTTCAAAGGGAGAGAGCGAAATTAACAGTTAACGAAAGTAATGGAATTTGCTGAAGCACAGCAGTTTGAGTTTAGCACACAGGGCGCACAATTCTGGACATGTGGACTGTCACAGAAACCACGCTAAGCAAGGTGTCACTGCAGTCTAGTCAGTGATCAAGTTTGTGTCAATATTTCAGCATTTAATAGAACAAGGAAGAAATATTGTCTTTTACAGGAACGGCTGAACATCACAGATGTCATGCCCTGTACACCTAGAGGGCGCTCTACTTCTGTTCCTAGTTCCCTGTGATTATTCATGTCTTTCCGGAGTGTCTTGTTGTGTAGCCTATTTATTTCCTGTGTCTGCCTTGCTCCTGGCTCGGTATTGAGGGTATGGATGTTGTGAGACCCGCTAGCACCAGGTTGCCCCACGTCCGTAGCCTGAGGGCATAGGTTTCTATATCGACATCGTCTGACCCCCTGAGCCTGGGCTAACCTCCGTATTGCCCCCTTTTACCGCTACACATAGGGTCTCTACTGCTCTCCTGGCCATTCTACGGCTTGCCCCTTCCGACATCCGTGACAACAGAGTGTTTTTCTTCAGAATTTAATCTGTGTTGTTGTGGTACCACTTACCTATGACACAGAATCCTTCCTGAGCCCGAGTGATGCCCACATTGACTTGGTTGGGATCAATGACAAACCCCAGAGTCTTTGTGAGCCAGGCTTTGGTAGGTTCAGTCTCTAGCTCTGAGGAGGGACAGGAGCGCACAGTAGAGAGAATCACGTAACGCCACTCACTCCCTAGAGAAACGGAAACAAAAATGCTTTCGGTTGATAAGGGAAAAGAAATCCTATAGGCCTCAGCTGTGATGAATATCTCATTTTTGTAGGTGTTCTTATTGTATTTCAAATCACTCCAATTCACCTGATAAAATCTGTCTTCTCAAGGTCAGCTGCCACTGCTGGGAGAATTACCTTTCTTTTTAGGGTCACATCTGATTAGTTTTATCTAGTTGTCCCCCCCCATATTCATTTCAATTTGATTCTTCTTATTGTATCACTGACATAATTAGATTCTCAACTAGCCATTTCAATAAACAAATATTGGAAAAGGAAAATAGTGCACATTATTATTATTGTGAAATGCAAGATAGGGCTTTAAAGTTCTAGACATTAAAAAGAAAAAAAGACTGCAGTACCTTGACTTTTCATGATGGTGCTGACTGTGACATTGTATATTTCACTTTTCTTAAGGAGCTCATTTATTTTTGATATCTGAGCATTGTACGGTGTCAGAATAGCAATGTGGTCAGGTTGAATTCTGGAATGTTTCGTTAACAGCCTGGCAATACGGACCTGGGGAAAAAATAATTAAGAAGGAATCAAAAATCAGAAATGCCTGTACAGTGTACTTATATTGTGTCTTTATGCCTATAAGAACACAGGAAAGGACACAAGAGAAAAAAAAGCCAATTTAGTTTTTTTGGTTTCTAGTATAAATATAAGAACAGAATACAAGCCTCCATACACATTACACAAGTTGAATTCCCATTTGTAATATAATCCAGTATCCAAGGCAGTGCGGAGATCCCGAGTGCAGGCAAAGCAAGCAGAAAAGCTGACAAGGCAGTAAAACAATCCAAAAACAGTAGCTGGAAACTCAAGCAAAGCTCATAGCCCGGTGAACAGGAGAAAAAGTTACAAGAGAAAATCCAAAAGTCAAATCAAAGCACGATCAGGAATATGAAAGTAAACAAAACAGGAAACAGCCAGACTTAGGGAATGAAACTGAGACTGAGCACCTGAGCGACAGAAGGGCAGAGCCTAGATAGCCTGTTTCCAACAGGGTAGGTGTAGTGATTAACTACACACAGGTGGAACAGATCTACAGTCGGCGCATGTAGTCACAGCAACCAACTGATTAACAGATTTAGCTGAGGCGCTGCCTGTTACAGAGTTTTGGTGGGAGCATAGATAATTTTAAAAAACTTCTAAAGTCACAATGCCCTTTTAAAATAATATCTGTGACACATCTGTCTGTTTAACCTTGAACTATAAGGATGTTGAGTTCATCCTTCTTTGATAGAAGATGTTTTGGAAAATCTCTTTCATGGCACCAGCTCTTGGCGTGTGCAGAAATGCTGGTTTCCGCAGAGCAACACTCACACACTGTTCGGCTTCCTCCATGTTTGCCTTGGAGTTTTCGTTCCCCTGCTCCGTAGAGACGATGAGGCTCATCTCCTTCCCTTCCACGTGGCCAAAAAGGATAGAGGTGGCTCTCCGGCCTGCCAGAAGAACACTGCCTTTGCGTTTAGTGCCAGTTTTCAGAAGGCCATGATAAAACTCCTTGGATGGAAATTCACAGATATCTTCATGCTGTAGGGAGAAACAAGCAAACGGTTTTGTACCAGGTACTTGGAGATAGACACCTAAATATAGGTATTTGGAATGGAACAAGAATGAACATTTATCTAGACACATTTGTACTCATGGCCAGGTAAACGAGTTTTAGCTGATTACAAAAGAGGAACTTAAAACTGTGAACAGCGCAAAGAAACCAAGCAGGCAAGTGGAAGAACGTGACTGTGATCCAATGTGAAGCAAAGTTCAACAAAAAACATAACTTTTTCAACCTCACGTCAGACTCCAAATATTTTTTTCAATTATATATTCAAACATTTCACATAAGAGTCAGCATAACCTAAAGACAAAGGGCAGACATAGCACAAATTAGTTAATCACAAACAAGAAATAGAAATAGAATACTAAACATAGCCAACAGAAGAAGGGTAGTTTGAAAAGAGTTTGAGAGATAAAACTCCAACAGATCCTGTACCATTCTATACTGCGTGTCAAGCATCAGGGCTTTGTCCATGTAGCGCTCGAACAGTGACTTCTTCATGCCCAGTCTCTTCAGTAGCTCGCTGTGCACAATGGGCCTGAGCTGCATGTGGTCGCCGAGTAGCACGATCTGAAGAGAAAGAGCCATCATCAACAACTCCTGAGGTATTCAGTCTCGTCTGTGTCTTCCTGAGTGGGACTGCCTTCAGATGAAAAGCTGACTGTGACGGACTCAAGCCAAATCAAAACCCAACAGTTCTCTGCTTCAGAAAATCTTTTTTACTTTTACTTGTATAATGGAGGTGCCTTTAATTGTACTGTTTTTTTTTTCCAGTAAACCAAGGTTGGAAGACCACACTATATGTGATAACCACTTTAAATCGTACAGTATGTCGATGTGTGTTTATGTGATATGTTTTATATTAGAGAAACAGAGCTCAAGAAGGCTAGGTTTTCATTGTTTGTTATAAACCTTTTCACTTGAATCTCTAAAAAACCAGGATATCCAGCCAGAGACAAGGTCCCCAACAGTCATTCTGATGCAAGGATCTTCCATGATTGACTTAAATGGGACCTGCACTGCTATTTTTATATTTCGGGGTTAGAAAGAATCAGCATTGTTGAGTGTATTTCTTACCAAAATGAAAGTATAAACGTACACAGCAACTTGTAAAACCCCCAATTTACATCACAATTTGATTAAATTTTCAGGTTTCCTCTCGCCATATTCTGCAATTCAGAACACGGTAACAAAATGTTCAGTGAGGTGAGGTGGCTCGATTACACTGTAAAGAAAGCTTTTGAAGGCATTTCTTTTTTTTCTAACCCACCCCACAACTTTGGAGGACTTCTTTATTATTGTTTTTCTCTCTTTTGTCTCTTTTTCTCACTCTCTCACTCATTTTTTCTTCTTATTAGTCAAAACAAAATTCTTACCTTCACAAAACATAATTAAAACACAACAAGAAAAAAAAAAGATAAATTCAAAAACTTCCTACTGATATTCCTAACATCCAGTGCCATTCAACTACTGTATGTCTCAAACGGGCCCCAAACATTCCTATACTCATTAAGTTTCCATTGTGAATTATATAAAATCTTTTCAAATTTAACTTGTGATACAGCCTCTTTAATCCATTCTTTGTGTGACAGTACTGTACTGTCCACCCATTTTAATGTCCATCTCTTTGAATCCAGTAGAAATATTGCTCTAATCTTTGACATGGTTTTGCCGATATATACTTCTTACTTCTTAACTCTGCCTGTAGATCATGTTGTAAGATTTCTGCAGTGAAATGTCTGCTGCACAGTCTGTGCTTATTCAGTCATACATCGATTACATTAGTCATTACAGTGACTAGTGAGCAGGAAGGGCCACATCACATCGCAATTCGTGTGAACTCTCACTCTTGCCCATGAAGACCAGGGGTTTGCGACAACATGGCGACCTACAGTAGTTTCACAAAGTTCACGATTTTGTGCTTAATTCAAAATTTGTAAAATTGTTCTATACCATCAATGACTGTATTTTGATTCCAAGATTTAATAACCCGTCTAAGAAACTGGGACTGTGGCTCCTTTTTAAAATACATACAGTAGATACACGAATGGATACATGAAAATACATGAAAAATATTAAAATTGTAAATTCTGAAGTTACTAAAAGGTGAGGGTTTCAAGACAGACCTTTTCCGGCTTGTGTGCCACTAAGGGTATGAGGGCTTCTGGCTCTGTTGCCATGGCACACTCGTCGATTAAAATCTGCCTCGGGTTCAGTTTCTGAGTAAAGTTGGGATTGGAGGCCGCAGTGCATGTACAAAGGATGACATCATGGTTCTCCAGCTCCTGCTGACGGGCCGCGTTCAGTATTTTTTTGTGACTAGAAAGTTAAAAGGTCGATTTACAGCATGTACAAAAAACAAACAAAAAATTAATTCACGAACGGTCACTCTAGAGGCTAAAAGCAAACGCCAAATGATAAAATGAATGGAATTAAGATGCAGATGTTTCCCTAATTTAATGTAAGCAAACAACAGTAATAAAAATCAGAAACAAACGAATGGGGCACAACTGTTGATAAACTACCGAAAAAAAAGGGGTAAAATTTCAATCACTTCAACTTCCTTCCTTGTGCACTGTAGATGAACATGACCAATATAAAAACAGAGGACAGGAAAAATAGAATAGCAACCAATTAAATTTTAAACGTGATTTTGAAGTCAAAGTGATTAACTGGAGGTAAAGATTAGATACAGGATGAGGACCGTAAAGGGAATCAGACACACATACGTATCTACTTCTTCATCTGTGAGGTTGTCTCCACTTCGTATTCTTACATCGAACCTCAGGATCTGATCTGCGTATGGCTTGCCTGGCATCCTTATTAAATGATGTAGACTGATGGACCTGAAGGAAAATGGTTCAAGTTAAACATGGGGACACCAAACCAATGTTGTTGGTTTTTTTTATTGTTTGAAACAGACTAGATCAACACAGCAAGAAGTAAACAACATTTTTGAGTACAGGGAAATACTGTACCTAAGCGATTCCTTTGGCTTTTCTTCACGGAGAGATTTGCGAGAGAGTTTCAAGGTGCTGCCTGGATATGGAAACTCCAGCATCTCCATCTGGTCACTGTACACTCGGAGGGGTCTGAGCATGCTTTGGAACTTCAGGAGGTATTCTGCAATTCAGCACCAGGTTTGCTGGATTAGGCCTGATCTTACTGCTACAGTTCACCCACAAGAAACATTACCTAGTGCTTCCATGTTTTTAAGTTATCTTTCCATAGCGGTTTTTGTTGTTTAAAAAATATCTTATTTTTGTTACTTATATTGTTTCTTATATTTCAAAGTTTCCTGTTGTATATCTTAACATTCTTAAATGCAGGAAGTATCAAAAACACATTAGGCTGATTCCTTGCTTAAAATGTATACAGTCACTCGTATACAGTATGTCATTGTGACCTGGTTTGAAGAAATAACACTTTCTCAACACATAGAATGTAGAAATATAGATAACACAGTTTTATTCTGAAGGAGGGTCCATGGCCGAAACGTTGTGTTCTCTTTCTTCTTTTTTTCAGCATGGAATAAACCTATTACTTGTTCCTTTGCAGCCTAGGCATGCTGACGCAGCTACCCACCTGAACTACTACAGTTTTATTCTTGTTGAGCTATACAGTATATTGGAATAGAGCACCTGCCTGTGGCACCTGAGCCACTTCCATATTTCTGTGCCACCTGCCCAAAACTTTGCCTTTCTCCAAGACTAATTTAAGAGGACTGTGGCATTTCTGTGGCCTGTGACCAGCTTTGTTTTTCAACGTTTCTGTTGTCACTTAAAGAGCCTGCCCACCTCTGTTCACGAGCAGAGGGCCACACACTGCATACACTCCCTAGCCCTTCGGTCTTGGACTTTGGAGCTTCCTCCATCTTACAGCAGACGTATGATTGAAGAACCTCCCCCCTCTTTCAGTGTAACCAAAGTACCAAACCTTAGAAACTCTGTCCGAAGTTTGTTCCTCAGGGTTCCTGTTCCCCTACTGTGATATGACAGTACTTTCTCTTACCAAGGAACCCATTCCCCCACCTCGTCCCCTCTGGGATTTATAACCATCTAGAAACCAATCGCAGTTATTTTGCCCCTTCGAGGATAAATAAATCTGCTCTGGAATTAATCATCTATTGCTCTTCCTGCACCTCTTTTGTTCCCTCAAACCCCCTCTGGGATTAGAAATCGGCTGCTGTTAACCATGGCCACTTCTCCGATCTCAAAAGAGAAAGAACCTAGCCTGTTTTCCATCGCCCTGGTAGTAGAAGTTTTAAGCCCTGTCTCAGTTGATCCCATCTGGCCAGGTCCACTCTATCTCCGAGTCAGTTGTTGCTTAACACAGCAACAACCCACTCTGCTGCTATCTTTTTTCCCCTGTCTTTGTCTTCTTACAATTCTGGTCCCTAACCTATTGGCACTAGGATGGCTTTCCGTGAAGAACCTCTGTCTCTTTAACCCTACAAGACCTGAGCTTCTGAGCTTCACCATAGAATAGCTGCACCTCACCCAACAGTGCTAGGACAGCCATGGATGGCTGCTGTTTCTTTTAACCCTACGAGACCTGAGCGCTTAACTTAACTTAACAGCCAGCAGCCATATCACTCTGCAACTCACCACTGGCAGCCCCACTGAAGCTAAGTAAGTGTGAGCCTGGTCAGTACCTGGATGGGAGAACTGAAAAAAACTAAGGTTGCTGCTGAAAGAGGTGTTAGTGGGGCCAGCAGGGGGCGCTCACCCTGTGGTCCATGTGGGTCCTAATGCCCCAGTATAGTGACGGTGACACTATACTGTTAACAGACACCGTCCTTCGGATGAGACAAAAACCGAGGTCCTGAATCTCTGTGTTCATTCCTGACAACACCTCAAGTTAGAGCCCACTATCACCAAACTGACAACCATTTGAGTTTTGGGGAATTTCAAACAAGTCTGATCTTATAATCGAGACACAAGTACTTCTTCTCTTTGAAATCGCCAGACAACTTTCCCCTGACTGGTGTTATAATCAGGATTTCTCTCTTCCTCTCAGGTTATTTCAGATTTGGATCTTACCCCCAAAGTTCTGAGCCTTCCTCCTTCTCTCTTCACTGTTTCTACATCCATATTCCAACAGGTAATGGGCTCCAGCTGCAGCTTCATGCTGAACCGTCTGCACATTAACCTGTCTTAATCGACTTTACCATGAGAACTTACGTTTTGTAATTACTCCCATACCTTTTGTTGCCCTGATAATGTTGTTTCGTATTAGTAAAGTGAGTGAATTAACTCACATGTGAAAATGTATGTTTATCCACTTTGTCACACGCATTTTCTTGATCTTTCCATGAACCCTTTTCACATGTGTAAATTGTGTTGACGGCTTGCCTGGCAAAATGTGTCTGGGATTTACTCACACACATTTTGTTGGCGCCGTACCAAGCCATTTTACATATTAAATGTGCGTTACTCACTGCACAGCTATCATTTACTTGATATAATATGTGAAGACATGACAAATGTCAGAGAATAATACAATGAAATTATACCAGCAACAACATCCACAGATTTGTTAGAGGGCCCACAGTACAAAATGCAGTCCTTCTTCACTGGTGTTCCCTCAGTTTCTTTGGTCTTCCTTGGGGTTCTCCTGTCCTTGTTCTGCTGAAAGAACCAATAAACGATATGGACTCCCACCACAGTTTTCCCAGTTCCTGTGAAGAATGGGAAGGCCAAAAATTAATAACTCAGAATAAGCCAACCACGTGTACAACTATGTTCCATTCTTATCTCCTGACAAGCTGCTGAGTTATCTGGGATCAGTGAATAATAACTGTACATTATGCCATGAAGAAAAACCTCAACTTCTGCCTCATGTTTTTTCAAAGACACATTTCCAACTCAAAAGAAATGCTGCTAGAATGCATTGTAGTCTCTAAATTTACTGATACAGATCTTCTAAAAGCTTTAAATATCCAATACGAGACCTCAGAGGATATTAAAAGTCTGCTCATGTGTGTTTTCATATCATGAGGCTCACATTGACGTGTTACAAATATGAACCCGAATCAAACAGGTCATCATAAAATGGGTTGGAGCAGAGCCCCGTACAGGCCTATATTTTCTCAATACAGTCACTCAATTCATACCCACTTATAGTACATCTTCTCATTTTTGAATTTAAGAACAATATTTCGTATTTCAGTATTGTAGGCATAACTAACCCAAAAGCACAATGCTAAAACTGCTAATTAGGCAATATGTGACATTTTAATAAGTTAATACATATTTAAACATCCACAGTTTTCACGACCCATTGTAGCTTTCAAAACGGCTGTCATGGAAATGTGTTACGTAAATGTTACGTAAAAGTACATTTTTCAAATAAATGTACACTTCAAATAAGCAAGAATGTAGTTAGCCAATTTTGCTTTGTGCACTGGATTCTGCCAGGCTAATGCCAGTTCACTAGTCACTATGTCACTGAGTGACTATGTACATTGACAAAGCTGCTTCCAAACTGTGTGCTCTCAGTTCACCCTTTCTAATCAAAAACATGTTCTCAGTACTTAATCAACATGGACAACAGTCTCATATCATCCTACATTTTTAATATTTAACCACCCGCAGTAACATAAATTCAACCCACGCCCACCTGCAACAGAAACAAAACGTCTCTGTAGGGCTTTAATTTGGAGAAAAAAGTATTACCCATTAATGTCTGTCAATAAGTTTTATTCGGTGATCATCAAAAACAGGATAGAGCAGTCAACAGGACATCTGAGAAAGCTGAACCAGAAGAAAAGCAGACATATTTGTCTGAACATTTATCTGCAAGCAGACCCCCGGGTTTCTTACCTGGGGGACCCTGGATGAGAGTGAACGGGTTTTCAAGAGCTTTCCTTTTTGCTATGTTCTGGCTTTCGTTCAGATGAGGCAGCCCCAGTGAGCCAAAGCCCTCAATCAGAAAATGCTGGTGTCTGAGTCTTACCACACCAGCCCCTGCAAAACGAATGAAAGAATAAATACGAAGACGAGTACCTAAGAAAACCAATGAATAGCATATTACTGGCTGAACTGCAGTGAAAACAAAGACAAGCCTTCTTAAATTACTTGAAACGATAACAGTGGATACCTCAATACAAAAACACAAAAAATATATAAAAATATAAACATTCCCCAAGTATTTTTGTAATCAGCCTGATTTGGAATAGCCGGTTGTGTTTTTAAATGTCTCCGCTTGCGCCTTGTGACTACAGAGGAGAATGAGAAAGTGTAGCGTACTCTACATTTTTCTTTTAAATATCGCAGTCACCACAGCCCTGTGCTGGAGGTTCATTGCCGATCGGAGGAGAGGAGTGTCACTCTGTGAAGCACGGCACACAAGCAAGTATCCCAAGAGGCTGCAGGGGGCGCTGTGTCACAGAGAGCTGAGAGAGTCCTGGGTGACTTTCTTTCGGCAGCTCTCACCCATTAATAATAATAATAATTGCTTACACTTATATAGCGCTTTTCTGGACACTCCACTCAAAGCGCTTTACAGGTAATGGGGACTCCCCTCCACCACCACCAATGTGCAGCATCCACCTGGATGATGCGACGGCAGCCATAGTGCGCCAGAACGCTCCCCACACATCAGCTATCAGTGGGGAGGAGAGCAGAGTAATGTAGCCAATTCATAGCCAACCATTGTACCCCACTGCTTGGGGAATCCTGATCACAGTTGACTACTGACATGACCCAGGCTCGAACCCAGGATTCTTTACCTCCCGTAGAGGTGTGGCCACTTGGGAGGCCTCAGGAAAAGAAAATTTAAAACGATCTTGTTATCTATATTATAATCTTATATTAAAATGTGATTCTACGCACCATGAGGAAGTGTCTTCTTTCCCAGTATGATGTTCTTGACAAGTTCATTAGCACGTGCAAGGTTAGAGACTGCGTCTTCTTTGCGGCTGAAAGTGCCAGTAGACATATTTTGAGAAAAGTGGGAAAAAAAACGTATTTACTTATTAATACTTATATAAGATACTCATCTAAAAAATAAGCAATGACTATTTATAACTTATAATTTCGAACTGTTTTTAAATATTGAAGACTAGTTGCCCTTTTTACTTGCAAGCTTAAATTTCCTATTGGCAAAGGCTTTGGAAAAACTCGTGAACCATAATACTCACACATCAGGTAGTAGCTTTGGAATCAGCTCCACTGTGAATGCTGTGCCTTTCTGGAATATGCTGTCGGGAATATTCTTCATGGGCACATGGTTGATGTAGAAGTCTATTTGAATATAAGAAAGTTTCTTTGACTCCTCTTCATCGGTGATTTTGGTAGTTACCCCATGAGCCACCCATGTGAAGAATTTGGGATCCACTTGATCCGACAGAGGAGCATGTCCGGAGGACTCCAGTCCAAACTGGTTTTCTCTGGAGTTTCGAGATTGGTCCCTCACTCTGATGCATAAGAAGCACTTTCTCAGATCACACTCGACGCACCACAGCTTTTTGTGAGCCAGTGTTAGCTGGAAGAATCCTTCTAGTTTGTCAGACTTCGATTTCATTTTCCATTGTACAGCTGTATCTTCAAAGACGATGCTGTCGTTTTCCGCCACGGCATTGAAGGCTGATTCCATTTCACATAGAGGCTTCCAGACCCTCTGATACTCCAAGTAATCGACATATTGCTGCTTCGATGCTCGTATGGCATATTCAGAGAAACACTCTATGGGGTTCCTTGCGTGCTCAAGACAAACCTCAAACTTTGGATGGATAATTAACAACTGTATTTGAGGCACCAGCATACCTCGCTTTGTGTCTGTGCCCAACTGCACCTGCAATATGCCCCCAGTCTTCAGCTTTAGAGAGAGTTCAGCATAGTGCTTCTCTGTATTTTCAGGAAATTGGGCAAAATTTGGCATAACCCTTAACTCTCTGCCAGGTGTCTCTGTATGGTTACAGTTGACCTTATTGACGCCTGAATTAATGTTCTCAAACAAACTGAGTACCCTTTCCCAGTCTCCTGTCCTAAGGGCAGAAACAATCTGTTGCCACGTATCTGTTAACACTGGTGTTAAATATGTATTGGGACGCTGCTGCTGGATCTCGGAGTGAATTTTGGAATTTTGCATGGAGTACACTCTTTGGCTCCATACCAAAATCATGCATTGACTTTGGTCATCATACATTGGCTGGGATGCTAGCTGTAAGTCCCTGTAGCTTACAGAGTGTAGGTGGGGTAGTGAAGAGTGGTTTAAAGGAAAAGAAACCTTGAAACTGTTCCCCGTTGGAAAGACCTCAACTACAAATGCTACCTTTTGTATGGTTTGACTCTTCAGTTTGGATGCCAGATTCAGGCTCTGGACAATCTTGCTGTAGCTCACTTGTTTCTCATGCTTCTGAGGAAATTCTGCACAAAACAGATCAATTTCTTTGACGGTGTACTGGGCTGCTGTATTTCTGAGTACCGCATGGAGATGTCGCTGGATAATGACATCCATGTAGCGCCGTATGGGAGACGAGGCCCAGGTGTAAGAGTCAAGCTGCATGATGTAGTGGCCAACTTTGGAATGATAGGTTGAGTTGGATCGAATGATGTAAGCCTTGCTGAGAAGCTTCCTGAACTCCAATAACACAGGAAGCAGCCAGGGGTGGATGTCATCAGTTGCAATCAAATCAATAATTTTATCCAAATCCCTGTTTCGGACTGCAGATTTAAGCTCTGTCCACAAAGATGTCAATATACAGCACATATCATCAGCAACAGCAGAACTGGAGTGCTGGGAGATGCTTTTTTCTGACTCTGTCATGACGATCCTACCCACAGTCTGGTGTGTAGGATTGGATTCCTGGTTCATAGTGGGCCTGTTTTCACTGGCAAGACGTTTATTCACTTTGAAATGGTAGGAGAGGTGAATAGATAAGGGTATGAAGGAGGTGTATTTACTCTGAAACTCATAAACTTGCTCAGGATGGGGAGTATTCTGACAACGAATAGGAGTGACTTTTGCTGTTACAGTGTTGCTTATAAGAAATTCTGCTACTGTGCAGTTGAACATTATCATGAGCTCCTTGATCATCTCATGGGACCTTCTTTCTCCTGGATTCACGTCCTCATCTAGTGACTCATAGTACCAGTCTCCCAACAATCTGTTTTTTCTGTGAACCCTTGAAAAGCGGTAAGCTACAGCAAGGCAGTCTTCCACAGTATTGAACCTGTACTCATTTCCAGAGTACTTCTGGATAATCTCCTCTGCTTCCTCGTAAGATATTTTTCTATCTGATCTTATCACTGAAAATGTGAAGCTGCTTTCCACAATCCTCTCAGTTTTCTTATCAACAGTTACCATCAAAGATATAGTGTGACGATTAGAGTTGGGAAGCAAACTGAAATCCTTAATACTCAGTGACCTTGGAAACATATACACAGGCTCTTTTCCAGGGGAATAGTATGTCATTCCACGTCTTCTGGCATCTTTATCTATGGGACAATCCTTGGTGACGAAGCTTGCAACATCCGCAATGTGAACACCAATTTCAAACCATTTTCCCAAATCTCTTACACTAATTGCATCATCCAGATCTTCAGAATTCTTTGGATCAACGGTGAAGGTTGTGTACTCACGATAATCCTTTCTGTTTTTTCCATCCAGCCTTAAATCCTCAAACTTGGCAAGTTCATCCTGAACAGAGGGAGGATTTCTAGTCAGCTGATATTCTATGTCTAGAACTTTTAAGCCACCCTCTAGGGATGTCACTCTAGGAAGGACTTCTTTAACAACTCCCAGGGGATAAATAAAGTTGTTGCGCCATTTTAAGACTTGGACAACAAAAAGGTTGTTCATTTTTGATTCCTCATTTATCTTTATGCATTTTGTCTTAATCCACATCCCATTTTCATATTTCCTTACTGCAATAACATTAGGTTTCTTCTGGAAAAATGGAGTGTATATTTTGGGAATGCATATGTTAATGGGTGTCATCACTTGTTTATCATAATGTTCAATGGTACAAACAAATACCCTTGAATGGTCAGCCACTTTTAGTACCCCTACTACTTTCCCAGAAGGAAGGCTGTTTTCATTGCTTATTATCTTCACAATAACCTGGTCCCCAGGAAAAGCTCTGCCAATATTCTTTTTCCCTTGGATTTTGATATGCAATGTTGGTTGGTCTAGAGGCCAGGCATAACCTGAATCGTATCTTTCCAGTACCAGTTCACAATGTTTGTATTCACTTGGGTTGTCTCTCAGTAATGTCTCTAGAGAGGACTCAGTGTAATCGAAAGGCGGTTCTTCTTCAGGCCTTTGATATTCACCACTTCCAGTGAAGTAATTATTTTGAACAATGTCCAAAAGCCCTTCACTTGTGACAGTCACCCTAATGTCTTTGCTCTCGTCCAGAAGCTCCAGCAAAATTGGGTCGTCAATGTCAGAGAGGTCTGAATCAACGGATTCTGTATCACTGATGTCTTCCTCTCCTGTTCTGTTGAATCTTGCTGTCTCCTTCACTTCTTGGTCAATGTGCTCCATGGTGAGGTGCTGTGGGAAAGCACTGCCCTTCTCGATGCACTGCGCTATGTAGCTCCTCCAGATCTTAGAGCACTTCCCGAAGTAGCACAGAGCTGCCGCGTCTCCAACCACAATGACCTGGGACTGCGCTCTGGTCATGGCAGTGTTCAGCACTCGCGGCTCGTTGAAGAACTCCAGAGTGGCTGAGCTCAAAGACAGCAGGCTGTCTCGGGTCTGAATGGTCGTCATCACGACTACTCTGAACTGCCTCCCTGCCCAAGAGAAAAGATTATGTTAAGTCAAGAAGTAATTTTCATTTCAGGAAATATTCCGACAACATATTTCTCTAAATTGAAAGGGTAAACATTGTCGCTGAAATAACATGCTTCCTTTTTAAGAGAAAAGTTACATCAGCAAGAAAGTAACAGATTTGAAATTGAAAAGCTGTAATTTAGCTAAGGTTTTTTTTTGCTAGGAAACTTGTGCCCTTTTCAAAGAACTGGACACTAAAAATGTATGAAAGTTACGTGGTGTAGTAATCTAAAAGTTAACCTTCAACAGTACAGAAATAACTAGGCAGAAAGAAAAGCAACCATTTATGCAATTGTGAAGGGGAACTACAATATACCTGAATACCAAACATACTAAAAGAAAAGAGATACAATAGTTTGTCTGTGAACAGCCAAAACATTGTGTCTCTTTTCTTTTCCTTTTAGCTTGTATTAAAACTTTACCTGTTCCTTTGCAGCCTACGCATGTTGACGCAGCTCCCTACCTGAACTTTACCAAACATACTAAATGTTTGTTAGAGAAAAGCTGTTTGAGAGAGGATCTTCCATAGCAGGTAGTGTGAAGTAACACTGTAATAGTGAAATACCCGAAAGATGGTTGGTGACTACGGAAGTGTGTCTAAGAATCTGGATACAATACCTAACAAGTGTCAACATTTCCACTTCCTAGAGCTTCAAACCAAGGGGTGTTTTATTGGCTGTGCTGGTTGTGAGATACATTGATCTAAATAATATTCTGGTTTACCTTAGTTAATTAAATTCTGGGTGAATGATTGACAGTTTAAAAAAATGTACGATAAAAAGACAGTCCTGGGGAAAGAGATCAAAACAGAACAAGAGAGAGGAGAAGAGAGGAGACAGAAGGCCAGAGGAAATGGAGTGTGCCAGGAAAGAGGTCCTTGTCCTTATCCAAAAGATTATCCAAGAAGACCTGATTGTAGTTAAGCTTTTGAACCTTGTGAAGAGAAATTGCTATTCTGCATTTTTTAGGAAACTCTGATTTCCCGAGTGAAGAATCCCTTGGTTTAAAAACGGCCTCTCCTGGTTAGTGATTGCATTTTTTGAATAGGGAGATAGGTTCCCATTCATGGCATATCAGTTTATGGAGAGAGAAATTTAACAGCAGGTTGTATTCTATTTAGTTTAGAAGGCAGATTTATCTTATTCTGGCCTTTGTAAGAGTTTGAATACTTAGTAGTAGTCTGGGATTATTCTGGGTGGTTTAAACACAGGCCTCTGGAACACCTTGACTGTAAACCTCTAAAAAGAGTTACTTGTATGTAGTATGTGTAGCGTATGTAACGCTACACATATATAATATGTATATTTTTGGCAAATCTTTACAAGTTGGTGGTTATGATTTTTTATTTTACTTATTAACTAATCTGCTCAGTCATCTACCAATTGCGTAATATGACTTTACTCTCTAACTTTCCAAATCCTGACCGGAGAAAAATATATGCAATCCAGAATCAAATGGTGTGAAGTTTGCTCTTGAGGGAAAAAAAGACATTTTAATTATACTATATATGGTAAAGAAAAGTTGGATATGAAACAGTAGCCCATCCAAAAAATGGGGTTCAAATACTGGGAAAGAAAAAGGCAAGGCTGACACTTTTAGAGGAAAATCCCTTGCTTGAACCATCACATTGAAATTTAAATGATGTAACATTAGAAGCAGAAATGCAGGACAGAAGAAATTTCAACCACAGGTGCTGGCACTGCAGATCCACTGTGTGAGAATGATATTTTATGTAATCCTGGAATTATCAGTGGGGGCAATATTTTACTGTAAATGGAATACTGATTAAAAATTACTTTGACAGTGCAGTATAAACTTAAGAAAATGAACAAACTTAATTCAATTTTTAAATCAGAATTAGTCCATCAAATTAATAATTAAATTATTTGCAACATAAGGATCGACTTGGTAAAAGAACCACTTTATCCTATGTCTTTATTTCCTCCTTCATAATTACTGATTATCTATCCTATTTACTCAATGATTGATAAACCAGACGCAAACAAATACAACACTTAATCAGATTCCTATCAGACAGACAGCAAATCCAGAATTTTCCTATCCATCGTTGACAGCTAGTTTTCCCATCCTGGCACAGGTTTCAAGAGCTTACCTTGTATGTTCAACAAATTCTCCACTGTAATTTTTCCCAGTTTTTTGCTTCGCAGTTTCTGCCTGATGAAATCCACCTGCTGTAAATTTGAAATAACAAAAACAAAATTAAATCAGAATATAATAATGGTTACAAAGGCCATTCAGTCTATCTAGCGTGAAGAGGAAACAGCATTCTTAGACACATTTACTTACAGACATAAAGCTACAAGACCAGACTGCAGCATTGGTCAGAAACAATGGAAATGATAGTGAACTATGTCATGAGAACAGCATAGTGCAGTGCAATCAGTATCAACTGAGAACATCAGTTCTGGTCATTCTTGCGTTAAGTAACATGACAAAAAAAAAGGTGCAGTTATTTGTAAGCTTGTCCAACCTGATGCTCAGATTTTAAAACTGATGGGAGCCCAACATGGGAGCTTATTTTCTTATTTTCAGCACCCGCTCACAGAATTAAAAACCTATAAAAGGAAAACTGTACTACCTGCATGCCACTGTGAGGCAGGAGAAAATCAAAATAGCCGGTGAACACTCATGTTAAAAAAAAGGACAATCAAGCAAACACACAAGCAGGTTACCAGTGCAAACATTGCCATTAATCAGCCACACTATATACTGCACCTATAAGACTTATAACCTATATTCTTTAAATATTGCTAATGTTTATTTGTAAGTACTGTAAACATTTCTGTTGGAAAATATTTAAAGGGTTACTCAGACACTAGAAATCACAGTGGCTTTTACCTGCTTTCCCTCTGAAGCAACACAAATTGTCCTTTGTGATGGATCCCCCCACTGTGATGGCCAGTTATGGAGAAGGCTTTGGACTATTTCCGCTACTTGGTCAATCTCCTCGCAGTTGAAATAGGATGAGGTGATTCTGTCCCAGTGGCAACTCCCGCGGACATGATGGAACATCAGCGGATGGAACTGAGGATGAGGGGGAACATCCCCCTTGGCTTTGATGGCATCGCTCTTCCCTACATAGAAGTGAGTCGACACAAACTCCACTATCTCTCTCGTGGAGCGATAGTTCTCATTGAAGATGATTCTGCTTCTCGAGGCCACCTCGTGCGTCTCCCCCTGGTAGAAGTGGAAGAGGCGATTCAGCAGAGTGTGGTCAGAGTGCCGGCCCTCTTCCTCCGAGAACAGCTTGGGGCCCATCTGCATGTGGTCTCCAGCGAGCACCACTCGGGTCCCCTCCCCAGCCAGAGCCAGGGGCATCAGCGCAGCGCACTCCAGCATCTGGGAGGCTTCGTCTATCAGGATGTGGGTGAAGTAGCCGGGAGGGAGCTTCAGGGCTTGGAATCGCCTGGCTGTCATGGTGGTGGTTACGACTATCCTGCGAGAGTCTAATGTCTTCTTGTCCGGGAAAATGAATGACTCGCCGTCTTCTGAGAGTAGGCAGTACCTGAGAGTGATGTGGTTAGTAGCACTCACAGCTACACCTCTTTTGTTTGACTTTATCCTCAGAGGTACAGTGTTCCCAGCATTCACCCAAGTGTGGAAATAGTCCTTTAAGTATATATCTGCAGAGCTAATAAAAAGTGTACATTTAAGTATTTGTAATACATTAAGAGCCATATAGTAATTAACAAAGGTCCAGCGTATTACACTAGGATTTAGGTACAATGAGAACCAAGCTAAAGAATAGATCTAATACAGAATACCTTTGCTTATGTTATGCTACTTAAAGCCATGGATTTTGTTTCTATCCCTATTATCTCTATTGCCACTGTCATTTGAGAATTAAACAGCTAGGTTATCAAAGCAGGACTGATCCTTTGTAAATAAAGCCTCTGTAACTGAATGGCAAAGATACAGGAATTTGACCATAACTTCCAGTATTAACACAAATTCCTACCTGTTTGTATGGGTGCAGATAAGAACCTTGGTATCAGGCTGGCGGACAATTTCCATGGCTGCACTGGCCAGCGTGTAAGTTTTCCCAGTTCCGAATGGTCCATATATCAGCAGTGGCGCCACAGGTCTGACTCCATCTGTGTCCCCAATGATGTAAGCCATGGCTGCGCTCTGCTTTGCATTGAGCTTGGAGAATGTCCCGCTGTGCACTGGCACAGAGCAGGCCGTCACATCTGGCAGCACTATCCCCACATCTGGAAGGAGGTCGACAGCCTGATGCCACTCGCAGAACTGGAGACGGTTCAGCTGAAACTGGACCTCCATCTCACGGGTTGTGTCCTTCAGGAGACCGAGGTCTGAGCAGCACCGCTTGGAAAGATGGAGGAAGATTGTATTCTCACTGCTTGCTTCCCAAGAGATGACCGCTTCGTACACCTTGTTGTCTGTCGGGTGAGACGGAGCTAGGAGAGCAGACTGAACTGCAGTTCTGAGCAAATAGCCATTAACAGTATCAGGTGTCAGTGCATAAGGAACCGGGACTTCTGCAGAACGCTCTCTGGTTCTGTCCTGCTTTTTCCCAGACGTATCCATTAGCGTCACTGTCACTTTCAGACTCAACCTATAATCAAAAAATCATTAATTATATGCATCAAGTAGGAAATGTTCATTAAAATTTAAGCTTATTTAGGCTAATAACTATACCAAGGACCCTCTCCAAACACTGGTGAACAAAATCCAGTAGATAATAAGCAGCTTAAGGCTGCAGAGATGGAACCTTTAAAAAGACCCTGAGAACTGAAAATTGTTCCTATGTTTATGTATGTAAAAATCTCTAAAACATTTCAAATCCTACCTAAGAGTTGTCTGAAAGTAAACAAGCATATTAAATTATGTCACCTCTCTAACAGCTCCTCCTGGGCCAGCTCTTCTCTGTAGAGGAAGGAGTGCATTCCGTCTCTGTAGTTCTCCCTCGTAAGGGGCTCAGTTCCCTCTGCTCTGGGTTTGTACCGCAGGTTCAGCTGAGGCGGCTTGTACTCCTTCAGCAGACTCTCCTCTGCCTCAGTCCTCTCCAGGCAGGGCACGATCATCCTGTTCCCACGGTGCCAGCGCTCCAGGCTCTGGCCACAGGGCCCGCTGCCCTCGGGCGTCTCCGCAGGGGGAGTCGGGCTCCGCTGACCCACTCGCACCCGGAGCTTCTGCAGCAGCACGGGTCTCATGTCAAAGTCGAACACCACCCACTGCTCGTAGAAGCCCGGGCTGAGAGATTTGAAAGTGACGGGGACGTCGCAGCTCATGTGGGATGTGCAGAACGTGTTCCCTGTGGCGTAAGTACAAGGGCCTTCAGGACAGATGTCACCCAGAGTAAAAACGGCTCCTTGTTCGTGTTTCAGCAAGGCGACGTGCACCAGGGGTCTCTGAGAAAACACACACAAAAACACAGGTTAACAGCGACTCATGTCCTAGACATTTTAACAGGAATCTGGGGTTTTATATTAGTTGTTTACCCTAAATCATTGGTAATGAACCCTACATGTCGCTCAAGGAGAGAGTGCTTGTGACGCAGAAGAACAACAGCAAAAAAAAGTCTTCAGGGGCAGCAATTTGCAAACAATCAACAAGCAGAGTTGCAAACACTTTTCCAGAAACACCAAACAAACAGATTGCAAACAGCACAATTAGTGAAGCACATTTACCCCCAAGATGAAGTGATCTCCCTAATGTAGCTTACTCCCAGCGTGTCTTGAAAAGACTTCCTAGTGCAACATGTTGGCATCATTTCTCTGTTCTTCACATTTGACACACTGATGATCTACCGAACTGGGAGGCTGAAAACCAGAAACAATCTCACCTCTGATTCGACATGGAAAGTCCACTTCCATTCCAAATGGTCTTCCTTGGAGCTCATGGTCAAATCCTCACTACAGGTGACTGACACCCCAGGTACACAGCTGGACATCTGACAAGGGATTTCAAAAGCAGAGATGAAAATGGCACAAAGCTAGGTTAAACTATAAAGCATAATAGATTAAATTATAGAATATTAAATCAGAATAGTAAAAGGCATTATAGCCAAAAAAATAAGGTGATTATATTTCATTATTACAATCAATAGCAGTTTATTTTCCTGTAAGAAAACCACAAAATTAGGTTGTAAAGATCAGGTATTTCAGTACGGTTCTGTGTAAAGAAGCAGAAGGGAACTGAATTTTTTTGTGGAGCAATGTGATGGGCCCTGTCCCATACACTGTAAAGTAAATATAATTCTTGCCTTTTTGTAAATAGTTTAGTTGGTTTGTTTGTTGGCTGCAGCCACTTCACCTCATTTTGGTTTAACAGTCAAAACCCCATTCAGAGGCAAGGCTGGATTTACAGCCTGGGAAGCAAATCGCCGGATGGCCACCAGCTTGTTTCCCATTGTGCCCTCTTGTGGACTGGAGGGGAACTGCTCCCCGTCCACTTATAAACAATGTTCAAACAATAAGTTAAAATAATAATGAGTTAAAATAATACCTCAACTGTTTCAATAAGGTATTAAAAGATTGTTATTTAGGGAAATGTGAAATGTAATTGGTAATGGATGCTTGTTTTGATGTATTTGTTTTTACTGAGGTAAATGTGTTTATTTAGTAGCAGGGTCCTTTAAGAGAGTTGTGGGAGTTTAAAGGGGGAGGAGCCTCCTTAATAAAAGGCAGAGGTTAAGCTCTGTGGGGGAGTCTTCAGTTGGGAGCTAAAGAGGACGTTGGCATTGTGGAGATTTAGTTGCTTGCTCTCTGGTGTTATTTTCGTTGCTGCCACTATTATTTATATAAACTGAGGCCCTTTTGTACTTTCTGATGGTGGACAGCATTCGTTTTTGAAAAGTGCTCAGAAGTGGTCTCAACAGATTGTACTGCGGGAGGAAGGGCGCGGCCACAAGCGATTGTTGGGTTATGTTTCTTTTTGTCGGAGAGGTGTAGTAGGTGTTTTATGACTGTGGCCCATGTCTCCACGGGTCCTTACAATGTGCACTTCGTTGCCACTGCTCCTGTACTCCTTCAGCAGCAGGTCCTGATACGACAGAAGGCCCTGCTCCTGTGCAGCCCTCATCCTCTTCTGAGCCGACCGGGTCCTCAGGATCCACTCCTGCAGCTCCTCTGTGGAATGAGCTGCAACACAGTTCTGTCCGTACTCACAGGTATCGGGCCTGTGGAGAAACAGGAGAGAGAGCGCCTGCTTTTCTCTGCTTCACAAGCACAGAAACATCGATCTGTTACGGAATACGGATGAACTTCAGAGGTGTAGTCGATTAAACAGTCCGGGGTCCGAAAGCTGAAGGAAAACAAACCGATGCAAAAGTACAAAATCAGAAGCGGCGCTGTAAGCAGTGAGGAAGCTGAGAGTCAAAACCAGAATAATAGTCAGTGTACCAAAACAAAACCAGGAGACGTAGTCGGAGAACACACCAGGGTCAGGAAGCCAAAAACCAAGATGTAACTGATCGCAGGAAGACGGGGTAGTTCTAGCCAGGAAAACCTAATACTGAGCACTGGGGAGAGTGTGTAGCAGCATTAAATAGGCTAGGGTAAAAGCCTAATTGGGAACCGTACTGGAATGCGAGATGGAATGCCGAGTCCTCCAGGGGTGTGGCGTAACACAATCTTTAAAGATGCCCTTATATAAATCCACCGTAGTATTTAATGTTAAAACAAAGAAACGCATTGGAAAGCCCATAGAGACATCTTTCTGAAAGCAAAGGAGAGCCACAGTAAGACAGCGTATCATGTTAAACTGCTGGAAACACATATAGGCTCTTTGAAATCATTGCAGAACAAATACACAGTAATCACAGCAAGAGCCGCACGAATACTGCGGCTTCACCGTGGGGAGAGGTCATGAGGCCGGTTAGCCGGCACTTTGACGAGTAAGATTTCTTCCCAATGCTAGACAAAGAACGTTTCTTGTTTCAAGTCAGAGGAAAAGACATGGCATTTGACTCATACTGTATATGGTTTCCCTTCTTTACCACCGGATGACACTTTCTTAACCACGGTTTCAAAACTTGGAGTGAGATGTCATGCTGGAATTTCATGTCAGCTACGCAACTCCCATTCTAGCCAAACTTTGAATCGGTTGGATCCATCTATGTTCTCACGTTAAAGAACAAAATGTCTTAAAAATGTTTGCTTTCATTAGTGTTTAAAAGCAGACATTACATTATCAATTGAGGAAGGATTATTTACTTTAATTATTGATTCATCCGCTTGACCTGTTTCTGATATTTCCTGTTTTCATAACCCCATATTTGTAGCAATACTCTAATGCTGAATATTCACTTTTACCACACCTTGTCTCTTTCAGAAACCAACAAAAACATTACAAAGCCCCACCAGAGAAACGAGCAGGATTCACAAAGCTGCGCAGGCAGTGAGGAATTTTACAATGCAACAACACAGTGGGTAAAATCGATTTCTTTCACGTGTAGAGGGAAGACAGAGACATTCGGGACCGATTCTGGTCCTTGAGAACAACCAGATATTATGAGCTGGAGGGCTTTACTGTACCTGCTGCAAAGCTCAAACCCCTGGGTTAGGTTTCCAGGCGGGGGGCGGTGTCTCCACTCTGTCCCTCTGTCCTCGCTGATCATCCTGGCGTGGTCGAGGGAAGAGCAGTGGTTCATGAAGCTGTCCTTGGAGGAGAATTTCAGACAGCAGGCCTTGCAGTAATAGGTCTGAGCTGGAGGTGATGCTGGTGCCTGTGCTTGCGTCGGCGCCACCTGTCTCTGGGGCTGCCTGAGCAAGTTGGGGCGCTTAAGGCCTTCCTTGGCCTCTGCCACCCACACAGCCATTTCAACTTCACTGTGAGCAAACCAGCATCGCCGATGTCCGTGCCAGCAAGGTTCACCATTGATGACATACCTGTAGTATTGCAGGGTGGTAGAGGCTGGCAGAGGCCTGATTTCATGAAATACTGCCTTGCCATGTTCTCCTGTTTGAAAATGTACCAGCACTGGCTTCCAAGCGTGCTTGGAGCAGGAATTACAGACCATCATCTGACCCCTGAGACTGATCTGCTGGGGACTGCTATACAAGCAGTCTTCACACACCTCTAGGAATTGGCCGTTAAAATTAGCTCTGATTTTTTCGGCCACACCTAGCTGCTTCAGTTGAGCCCTCTGATCCACAGGAACTTGAATTGCTTTGACCATTTCTGCCAACGTACTGTAGCTGAGTTGTCTGGCCTTTTGGAAATTCCAGACAGCGGCTTCTTCTTCACTCCTGGCAAATGTGCACCTGTTCCCGTGTTTCTGACATCCATGTCCAATCTTGAAAAACCAGCACACCTCATATTTATATGGGACAGGGAACTCTGGACGGCGAGATATGTGCTTCCATGCATTTCCGCTGCCTCTCTGCCTGGCAAGTAACACGCTTCCTGCACACTGATGTTTCACAGTCCTGATTTCAAACGTGATCTCATTTTTTTTTATGGCGCAGGAGAAACAGGCGACTTGCAGGTCGTAGGTCCATAAAAAACTTTGCAGATGAAAATCTGTCATTTTCATCAACTGTTCATGCCAATTGTTTCAGAGAAAAATTTTCGCCCTGTAAAGAAAATCATAGACTAATCAATTTCATGTACAATATTTACATCAGGGTATAATCCTTGCTCTGTTATGACAGAAGTGCTTGCAGACACTCAAAAGAAGGTTAAAAACACTGGGCAAAAAGCAAAAGGCAGGAGACGTGACAAGCAGAAGACAAACATTTATTAGTTTCCCTTCCCAAGGTTGACCCCACATCTTAAACCCATTGATTGAGAAAAGCTACAATAACAGAACAGAACAGCAGAACAGTTCAGTCCTAGACACCACCAAAGACTGAGATGATACTGGGAGGAAAGTACTGTAAAATAAACCCAGTGGAATGCACGCTGCCTGAGTTTCTTGCAGTAACTGCAATGCCAACACCTCCACTGCTACAGTTATTCTGCTCAAAGCAACAGAAATAAGGAGCTGGTGGGCTGTAAATGATCGCATTGGAGGACTTCAGGCTGCTTAGCCCTGCTCTTATCAGCCAAGATACTAAGAAATTAACTTGGACTTGGGCGTCTTCTGCTGTGAAACTCGCTTCTACTGTTTCCAAAGTACTGTAGATATCTCCTATCTTGCTATCTCACCTTCTGCAGACGTGGTGTGGCACGCAGAACTTTTCCATTTCACTCAGTCGGCAGTCTTCCCATAGTCTCAACAAAACCTGCTGCAGCCCAGCTCTGCCTGGTTCCAAGTACCAAAAACACATCGTCATGCTCAAGACTGCTCTCCTACGTTGACCTGCCCTCCACAACTTAAACCCCGATGCCCTGGATTTCCCAAATGGCATCTTGCGAGGCTGGCCTGCGTGTGAAGCTACGTTACAGTATGTCTTCCTCAAAGAAGCTCCCTCATCCAGTATCTCACACATCCAGTAACACACCTGTTACATTTACCTGTCACAGTTCAGTGGTGGAAGAAGTGGGTCCACTCTAATATGTTATGTAAAGTGCTCTGAGATTATCTGAAACGAGAATATTGTAACGCTTACGGCCGACAAGCACTGTGTGTAAGAGCCGGCGTACCAGAGCGGGTGACGTCACCGCCCTTCCCTGTGATAGCAGGACCACAGCTACTCACGGGGCTAGGTCGCTGCAGAGAGACGCGGAAGTCCCGGGTTCGAGCCACCTATACTTTGGGCCGACCAGATGCGGCAAGGGCGCCCGCCTGAGCCCCCGTAGCGTTACAATATATATAATTGCAGTTCTTTCTTTACTCTTAGTGTGCCACTTCCCAAGGTGCAGGGGTTGTTGGAGGATGTGAGTGGGTAATTGCAAATCACAAGACGCGGAACTGTGAGATGATAATAATAAATAGAAACTGAGAGGAACGACAGAGCAGAGGTTAACGATTTTTCTCAAACTTCCTCGTTGGACAGGGTGTGCGTGATCTGTCATCGTGACGTACAGTACAGTTACAGCTGTAATAAATACAACCCGTTTGCTTTTCTACGTGCAGATGAAATAAGGAAGCTTCCTGCTGCATCACTTTTAGCCTGTGGTTTAGGGCGTCCGGTACAAACAATAAAGAAGCTATTTTAATCTATAACAAAAGCGAACACAATATGAATTACTTATGATTGTTATATTATTATATTACGTATTATAATGATATGTTAATTGTTTTTATTCATTGAGTTCTCATGAAATACATCATACGAAATAAAATAGTCGACGAAACAATCATTAAACTATTCTTAAAACAGAAAAATGCACGCCAACTAAATCTTAAACTTAAAACTATAATAATTTATAAACACGGCTAAACTGTTTTTAAAATATGCGCATATTATATATAATAACATGAAAAAGTTGACGTGACAATATACCAATATACAATATATTCCTTATATGTGTTATTCGCAAAATAAGTCAGGGAAAAAAAAATTGAACGTCCTAAAGCTAATGGTTTTATAAAATTATCTTTCCTTCATCCTTCATTTTGCCCATTTTAGAAATTAAGCGATATTTTAATGATAATATTTTTCTTATCAGAAAGGAAAAATACAATGTTTATAATTAAGTAAATACTTACTTTCCGGACTGTATTTTGTTCCATCGTACAATACAGTAAATTTCGAGGAGGACCAAGACCTGTGAAAAACTCAAATCCGTCAGCTGATTCCGCCGATTTCAACAGGAGCTGAGGTCTGTGATGAGCAAACCCTTTGCCAATGTTTTTAAATCTCACCTCGTTGCTTTGCAATGTTTGGGCGTCCCCTTTCAGCTGAAGTACTTCTTAGTTTCGATTTATGAAAACCGAAACAGCTACAGGATATTGCAATTCACTGTCACTTAATTTTAGAGCTCTTCATTTGTTCAGAGACACACTCTATGTACAAATAGCGATTCCAAAGTGTGCCTAAATGTGTTATTTCGATTTAGAATAATAGTAAAATATCAGATTTCACTACTACTTGCGTAGCATTGCTGTTGATACAACCTGCTTGCCTTACAAGTCTATAGGAACAATACATTTTGGTTTAATCGCTATGTACTATATGCGCATAGTGTGGCTTTTTTCAATGGCTAAGAGACCCATCACTAAGAGGAAACATTATTATCGAAGGTAACAGTTATTACTACTTTAACAAACACAGTATGGGGTTGTGAACATGGGTGAACAGATTCCGGTATAAAGTATTTTTACGCCCTATTAAGCGAATGGTGTGATACGTTTTCGTGCGTTTGTTTGATCTAACAGGGTAAACTTATTTCGTCCAGCTACTTGAGATAGGGCAATGTGGGCTCCATTGTTTTGTTGATTAATATCATCAATGTCATGACTAAGCGTCATATGGTCACAGTTTACAGCACATCCTTCAGGAAGTTTTCACGTTAGCGTGCAAAGTTCCCTCTGAAGAAAGAAGTCAATGGTGTTTTAGCATTTGAGATACACTAGTATGTAGACAATGGCCATTATAACATGGGTGTAACAAGTGCATTCCAGAATTCAACCGCATTTATGATCCAATGGTTCTGTATTTGAAATATGACACGCCAATTTATATGTCAAAACAAACGAATTGTTGGGCAGGTCTAGTTCCAGGTCTAGTTGTACCAAGTATTGACTCACCACTTAGGATATTTCAGGTTGGTATTTTTTATACATAATTTTGTGTCCCCATAAAATGTTTCCCCTCAAAAACAGAGTATTGGTGTATACATCAAAGTAAAACAAAATGTAATTTTTAGGCACTGACAACGTAATGTGAAAAAAAGTTTAGGGGAACCGATTTTGTATAGGCACTGCAGTAACAGCACAAGGTTTTATTTAATTCATCAGATGGTTATAAGCATTAAAAAACGTATGCGTGCTACAAAGGGATGGGAAATTATGAATACTTCTAAAGTTGGTGTCTTGAAACCCAACTCAACAGCTCTCAAGATCATTGAGCTCTATTAAAATTGTGCATTCTGAAATATTACTATCACTACACACAGGGGTTGTCATGGCAATTGAGAAGTAATACTCATGGTGTAGAGAAGTAATCACTGAGCTTTTGAAGTGTTTTTGGTGGTGAACGTCCTGTCAAGATTGTTGAGTTCTGATTTTGTTCAAGCAGGTTCCCCGATACTCACAGTGCAGGATTTCTTCGGCTATCCTTCATACCTGCTCTGAGTCCATGTGTAATGTGTTTTATCAGTGGAAATTTAAGACTGGATATTCCAGGGTAACCTGCACACTAAGATTTAATAATGCAATTAACATGCATTTAAACTATTACCACCTATATATATTCTATATGTTTCAGAGTGTATTGCATAAGTTGGTAGTTACATTAAAATGTGGAATGTAATACAGTGCTGATGACACACTGAATGTTATAAAATATGTTCTGAATTTAAGGACTATTTGCATACTTATGTGGTTTATCTAATGAATTATAACTAGTGTGATAAAGAAAAACACATTTTTGTTGCAGTCACACTAAATATCTTTAGGTAGATATTTGAACTGAAGAAAACCGAACACTAGGAATCCCAGAATTTCCTACCGTGTTAAAAATGAGTTTCCAAAAAACCTTAATTAACACAGCTTAACATAGCTAACATTTACATAGCTTACAAGCTATGCGTTTCAAAACCTTTGTCTTGAAGCATAACTCAATATGGAACCATTGTAATTTTAATTTTATGGAAGGGGAAAAAAAAACAGAAACATCAGAACAGTCTTAAGAACTGTACAAATGTTTAATATCAAACCTTAAGTGTCCAGTCTCAGATCAGTGCGTAAAGCTTTACTTTATGAGAACTGGTATCTATTACAAAAAACCTCTACTGTAAACCAAAAGTCCAAGGGCTGATGTTTTTCTTAAGGCATTCAAAAGGTTTTCTTACAAGGCATGTAAATATCAGCATATTACATTACCGTCAATTATTTGCGATGTACAGTAAAACTAATTTACACTTAAAAAAATTATGTACAACAGTGAACTTTTGTTATTTACAAGACGAAGTGGGGCAGCAAACTGTACAGAACAATATCAGGAAAACAAGGCGATGAAACAGTTCGCCTTTGCAAAATAATACAATGAGACAAAAGAAAGAACACAGGAGTCAGTCAGTCAGTGTGAAATGTGTTCTGGAGTCCCTCACTGAAATCTGGATGCAATTTGTGTGGAAAGTTTAAAACTGGCAGCTGTTTGGTTTTTCAAATTGTGTTAAATTAGTTACTCTGAGCGCATTACTGAGACCAGTGCTTTGTGGTTTCAAGTATTTATTGATGGCTTCAAAGGTAAGCCACCTAGACTTAGAGGGATATATATACATACACTGTATTTCCATAAAAAAATGTACAGGTCGTTTAAGGTATATTTATCTTTCAGATAGAAAATCGTTTCTTGAAATAATAAATCGAGGGGGAGGGGTGACTAAATTCAGACAGTTTTCAGTCTTATCCAGAAAAAAATCAATTATAGTTCATGAACTATAGTGAGTTACTCAAAGTGCTTGCGTGAACACTATGGGCATATCTATACATACATGTATATAAAAATATATATTAACCTGTATTCAAAGGTAAGGATAACTCAGCTGTTGAAACCATAAGCTTCTGTGCTCTTGAGACAATTGACAGTCTGTTGCCTTCTGAGACAGTATCCACCAGATTTTATTTCACTTCAGCTCATCATGTGAGAAAGAGGGAACAGGCGAATAAACTGATGATGCTAAACATCTTGCAAATGTCATATGTACTAGTGACACTTAGCACGTGAGATTTGAAACAATGAGGGTCCTTTAGATCTGTAACATGTATTGAGAGTGATCTGTACCTTGGTATCAAAATGTTAAGAAATGCACTCCCCCACACCCCCCCTCCAAAAGAGAAGATCTTCTATCAGGGATGGTCTATTCTGATCCTGGAGGGTCAAGGTGTTGGCTGGTTTTCATTCTCAATGACTTAAACTGGTCCAGTTAAGCCAATGTGCAGCTCATTAACAGCTTCTCCCAGTTTCTCAGGTGCTGTAGCTTAGCAGAGAAGAAAACTGCAGACATCCCTCCAGGACCAAGGCTGTCCATCCCTGCTCTTCCTCCATTCCAGCCTTGTGCTCGGAAGATGCAAATAAGGAACAACACTGAAATACTTCACATTAAAACAAACGCCCAGATAGCCTTCCGGGCCAAGCCGTGTGCTTTGTGCAGAAGCTCCGCAGTCCCGTTGTTGTTACTGCTTTTCCGCGTGATCCTCCTTCACCTCGATCACAGTGGTCTCTTCGGTCTGCGTGACCGCCGTCTCGATCGTGCTGGTGGGCACGGCCACTATGGTCCCTCCCGCTGCGGCCATGTTCTGGAGGGTGGCGCCCAGGGCCGGCAGCGTGAGCAGCTGGAAGGGGCTGACCACCTTGACGATGGTGCTGCCGTCCTGGATAGCGGCCGTGCTGAGGACGGTCAGGTTGGAGGCGTCGGGCTGGATCTCCACCGTGTTGGGGATGGTGGCGCCCGGCGACGCCAGCACTGTGTAGCCTCCCAGGAGCGGCGAGTTCGTGGTGGCGAAGGTGGCAGGCTGCTGGGAGGAGTTGCTGATGCCGGAGCCCTGGATGGCCGACATCACTTTGCTCAGCGAGAGGTTGGTCAGCTGGGTGACGGGCAGCCCGGAGGCCAGCGTGATCTGCGCCGGCTGGCTGGACACGTGGGTGGCCACAGACGCCGGGCCTGAGGTGGCACGCGTCAGCCGGGGTCGCTTGGGTGCCGGCGGGTTCGAGACTGGCGTTAGCGTCATTAAAACGTTGTTCAGGTGCTGAGATTTGCTCTTCAGCTCTTTGGCTCTCTTGCGGTGCTCATCACATTGTTGCTCCAGTGCTGCAGTAAGAAAAAGCAAGGAGCAGTCAGTTACTAAGATAGAGTGACTTACCAGAAGAAATCACCCATTTCTTCTAAACTGAGCATCCAAAGAAGGTTGGCACTCATAACAGCCAGCCTGCCATCAGTCACTATGAGTGGAGTTCTGTAGCAGCTAGATGCTCCTGCCCAGACCGTAACCCTTGCATCGCCTCATCAATCTTGAAGGACTGTGTTCAGGTGTAATGTCTTGCCAAATTCCAGTTGTAAACATGCCTGACGCCAAACAACAGCGATCCAACTTAGCGCGATCTGATATTTTGTAATGTAGAGTTCTTTTTGGAGGCATAAAGGGAGAATACTCTCGTTCCATCCTTCCTGGCATTTTTCGGAAAAGTGAAAATGGGAACAATAGGAGAGGAAGAGGAACTGCAGTGACCGTGCAAGTGGAACCTCTGAGGAATTGGGCGGGTTTCTGGGACTGTCCAGGCTTCACCGGAAAGGGACCAGTGGTACATCACAGGAGCCTGGAGGAGTCCCGCAAGCCAATAAAAGTGTCCTCTTAAGGTCGTGATGCACTATCTCTGAGTTACGTTGTGTGGACTGGGGATCGTTATTCACCACACATATCAAGAAAACAGTGTCTTGGTGTCACTGGTAAACAGGGCATATTCATTCCTTTCTGCATTTTTCTACCTTGATTTTAATCAGGCTTGACATTTAACAGCTTATCGTTGAGTGCCAACAGGAACTAAGTTAATCAGGGGATAAAATGTTTATGCAATGTTTCCAAAAACATTTACTCGCTCTTCAAAATTCTAACTATTCTATGCATACATACCTACGGTGATAAGTTTTCTTTCAGTATTCTTTCTCAGTGGGAAACTTTCTTTTCACAACAGCAGGAAACTGCTGTTGTGAAACACTAACCAATACATTTCCTTACTTGAAATGCAGAAAAAACTACACTCTGCTTAAACTGAGTTTCCGAGTCATTTTTTAAAGGGACAGAAACAGGTGTACCTCCTTTCGACCAGAGACGGGAACGCTGCCAAGAAATATATGACTTGCATGGATATTTAAATAGTACACAAAAACATAACCCCAAAAATCCCTTTCAAACTCCAAGATCTACTCATTTGCGTCTAAATAATCTAGAGATGCGCTAACCAATCCATACACTGATATACGATTTTTTTTCAGCCCTTACATGCTGCAGACTCACTGTACGAAGATATGGAAGGAAAAGATATTGGGGAACCTGGTAGTCAAGAAAGCTTCAGGTCACTATTCTGTCATGGGCTTTCCACTCACCTACTAAGCTGCGCGTGTACTGCTCTCTGTACCGATCCATTTGGCTCTTGTGACTTGCCAGGACCTTCTTCACCAGGTCCAGCATGCCGAAGTTTTGCACTATATTGTTCAACAGGACAGCATCTGTAAAACATTTGCCCCGAAACCGGTTAATCAGAACAAACCCAGAGCCGCCTGTTGGTTTATTTTGGTTTACAACTCATTCGCTCCTGCCACACAGGCCAACCGCCTGAGGCTGCGTTTTTGCGGTCTCGTCGCGCATCGGCCGGGGTTGTGGGCACTAACCGGTGACCTGTAGGGGCGGCTGCTGAATTCGGTCTTGTAGTCCCTTCAGGGTTTCTTTCACCTCCTTCTGGAACTCTTCGACCACCTCCTCCAGCAGCCCCGCGTCCTTCAGCCCACGCCAGAAAGCTACCGTATCCTCTAGAAATGGGGACATAGAAAGACTTTAGGTTTTCCCGGTTCAGTCCTGCAGCAGAACACCACTGACACTAGGCCACAGCATCCACATTCTTTAAATCCCACCTCTAGCACTCCCACTCCTGTCTAAAGGCACAATGTAAACCTCTATAGTGCTGTAGTGGAGTTATACAAGGGCAACATAAGGTCACTTCCACTGACCTCCAATTGTCGTCACCCACTCGGTACTGTCCTCTGAGGCTTCCACTGTGAAGGTGGCTGGAGAGCCGTTTACTGCAAAAACACATTCTCGCACGGTTAAGGCATGGAAACAAAACAAATAGCTTTACAAAATGACGATGTGACATCATGTAGGTACTTTGTATGTGCATGCCTTGAAACCAGAACATTTGTACACCCTTCAAGCATCCTTCCATTTCCTAGCCAACTCATCCAATTCACACACACAGAGACATAGAGACACACAGAGGGACACACACATAAAACACACAGAGACACACACACAGAAACGCACCAGGGCCAGTTTTCCCAGAATCTAGCTAACCTAACAATATCTCTTTGGATTGTGGGAGGAAACCGGACCACCCAGAGGAAACTCACTTGAACACAGGGAGAACATACAAACTCCACACAGACAGAAGCCCAAGCCCAGAGCTGAACCCAGAGCCCCAGCGCTGTGAGGTATTAATGCTAACTACTACACCACCGTTTCACCCTACACTGTCCATATATCTAAATAACTGTGTGACACATGGAACAGGGTTCATGTTTATAGTCACAACTGCCCTGAAGCGCTCTCGTGTTTGTTTGAACTGGGCGGCTCCAGCGCACTGGCAGGTGGCTGTACGTGCAGCTAGAATCACAACAGCGTCTCGAGCCAATGTGTACAATAAGGCTCTGAAGCCCCTTCTTCTAAACACACTAGATAGTCTCTATGCATACTACAAATGTGGTGTCTAAACTATTACAACAGCAAATGTCTGGAACCTGAAATGCTATCTGTAGAGAGAAAAAAAAATGTAGTAAACGTCTTCTGCTTTGATCCAGAAGGCCTCATAAATTTCTGGCTGCACCGCATACTAATTCTAGCAGTTCGGCTGTGCAAATTGAGCACACACCTACCCCGATTCAGTTTACTAGAAGCACGGATCTGGGAGTCCTTACTGTCTTGCCTCTGTGCGAGTCACAGTAAAATAAAAACAGCTTTTACTTAATAAAAGGTGCCGTGCACATCATTAGAGCCGATAAATAGAAGCTTTCTTTCGGCACCAGACAAACGCCACCCATTCCTCCATTTTTTTCCCCCCACACAAAGCCCCGCGGCTCCACTTCAAACCGGGCCAGCGGGTTGGTCAAGGCGCGGCTTGCGGAAGGATGTCGGGTACCGTCGGCTGACGCGGGGGTGATGGGGATGAATTCGGTGGACTGCTGGCTGCTGAACGAGGCCCTGTTGCCCACGAGGTCGATTTTCGTGCTGCGGCAGGTGTTGGAACAGACCTTGGAGTGCTGGTAGAAGTCCAGCTCTCCGGAGTCCATGATCTTCCTGGATTACAGACGAAAGGTCACAACCTTGTGAGGACCTGAATGAACCCCCCCCCCCCCAATCAAACCACATGGATCTAAAACAGAGACATTATAATTAACACAGACTAACAGCTAATACATAAACAGAGTGATTAACACCTTTAACATTCAATACTACAGAGCAGAATGCTGGCATGTTCCCTCTTTAGACCTACACCAGTGTAGTTCAATTACTGCAAAATATTTAAAGGCTCTGTAAACACTCTTGGAATGAAAACAACCTTTAATAAAATGTTCTCCATAGGGACAATATGCCTTTCAGGCCACCTTGTGCAGACTAAATTAATGCAATCCTACAATGATTTAGATGAATTAAATTGTGCTGGAGTAGTATTTTAAGATCACTTTATTGGCCATACACAATTTCTTGTATTAGGACTTGGTCTTTTCGCAGACCCCAGCTTGCTCTCCATGAGGCACACAGACAGGGAGAGACGCTTGGGGTCAGAGCGCAGGGGCAGCCATTTATACGGCGCCCCTGGAGCCGTTGGGGTTAAGGGCCTTGCTCAGGGGCCCAGCGGAGTAGGATTCCCCTGCCGGCCGCAGGATACGAACCAACAACCTTCCAGCCACAGGCGCAGATCCTTAGCCACAGAGCCATCACACCACACCAATATTATAACTTATACTGCCACAATACTTTATAAAAGAATTGGAGAAAAAAAACATGATTTTAGCTTTTGCATTTTTAAAGAGCAAGCAGTTTTGCTCCAACTTTAGAAATCAAGGCCAAGGCAGTAAGAAAATCTCCCAGCACAGTACTTTACATTGTACTTAAACTGGTTTATCACCCAGGACAGCTCTATCCAAACCTCCTTAATGAAGTAATAATTATTTTCTTTCACAAACATCTGTTTAACTCAACTATTGATCACTTTAATCTTCCCAGCTCCCTAATCATTCCTTTAAGCAGTCCCAAGTGGGAAATAACGATAAACACATTATAAAGAGAAAGCGTTCAGCCCATCAGGTTCAGCTTGATACACCCGTGCTATAATATGAATATTTAAAACAATTATATACTGAGCATCGAAAGAGATCACTTATAGCTGCAACAAATTCACAAAAAGTCATAGTTAGGAAGATGAGTCTTTCTTTTGCAGGTGCAGTTGACACTTAATTGAATGGACATGGCTAAGGTAAACTCGTTTTGCTCATTAACATTTGTCACAAACAGAGCTGATCAGCAGGGAGTCTGTGTGTGTGTGTGTGCAATTGAAAGCAATACAAGCTGTATATCTGTGATGCGTGCTTTGCACCAGGTTGCAGCTGCTGTCTGGTTGGATTCTCTCCCCTTCTGGACGAGCACCTGCCTGTTCACGGGTCTCTGGGCCGCAGATGCTACCTGTCAGCCCAGCTTACTCCACCAAGTGCGGTGTCACATTCTCATCTTGCAGGAGAGAAGTGGGGCGTTGTCACATGAAGACTGAAATAGCCAGCAGCCATATAGCTCATAGCTGGCAGCCCCACTGGAGCTCAGCAGGTATGAGCCTGGTCAGTACCTGGATGGGAGACCTCCTGGGGAAAACTAAGGTTGCTGCTGGAAGAGGTGTTAGTGGGGCCAGCAGGGGGCGCTCACCCTGCGGTCTGTGTGGGTCCTAATGCCCCAGTATAGTGAGGGGGACACTCTACTGTAAAATAGGTGCCGTTCTTCAGATGAGATGCAAAACTGAAGTCCTGACTCTCTGTGGTCATTAAAAATCCCAGGGCATTTCTCAAAAAGAGTAGGGGTGTTACCCCGGTGTCCTGTCCAAATTTCCCCCTGGCCTTTACCGATCATGACCTTCTTATCATCTCCATCTCTGAACTGGCTTCATTACTCTGCTCTCCTCCCCACTGAGAGCTGCTGTGTGGTGAGAGTACTGGAGCACTATTTCTGCCGTCACATCATCCAGGTGGGGCTGCACACTGGTGGTGGTGGAGGGGAGTCCCCGTTACCTGTAAAGTGCCTGTGATGCACTCATTGATGTCCAGCAGGGTCATGGACATGACACGAAAACCTGACTCATCACCAGAGTCACTAAACAAGAGTTGGCTTTGCTTTTGGCAACACCGGCGGCACCAAGGTGCAGTTCTCTTGATAAGCGGGACATATTGGTTTCTTTCTGCGTTTCTGTTTCCCGACTTTCACCAGACCTGACCTTCAAAAGGTGAAATCACCTCAGCACAAGTGTCCGATCAGCTCTCTCCCCGATAAAGTGCTTTAGCGCTTGCGCAACAGCCAAAGTCACGCGTTTTTTTTAAAAAACGTACCTTAACATGATGCCATTCAAACGAATCGCTCTCTTCCAGTCTTTCAATGTTGACTTCCCCGCCAAATGGACAAACTCTTTAGGACTGATTAGGTGTTCATTATACTGGGGAAAAACAAAATATACACAAATGTTTATTAAATTGTCCTTGCTTTGTTGCGTAATTCTGTTGTTACAAAGCAGTACAATGGTTATCTTATAAAGCAGCCCATTCTTCAGGGTACATGATACAGCAAAGCTAAAACTCATGTATTTGAATGAAGCATGGATTATCACTTTTTTGGAAATGTCAGTTTGAGATTTGAGCTTTTTTTTTTTTCATTACCTCAGCTTTACTTCCATATAGCACACAGCAGCACAAGACACATGAGCACTCAGCCATCTGCTCAGATTAGGTTAGGAAATGAAGCCAGCTAATACGAAGTGAACAGAAACACTGCTGTTGATAATTTACAAGAAGTAAGAATGTAAAAAAGGTGCATTAACTTCACGTTAATACTGCTGCAATCTGTTAATCAGAGAAACTCATTAAAGACAATTTAGTGTAACACTACCTTCCCCTTCTTTCATTTGAAACGGTTTTGCTTTTTTCCATTTTTCTTAACAATTGATCTACTTCAATGAGGCTGCTTCTTAACTGTTTTAAATATGCACAGAATTAGTTTTGAAGAAACAAGCAAATCCAATCCCCCCTGAAGACACATAATAATAAAAAATATAGTTGGTGACATACATCATTCTTTCAAGAAAAAGCTTAATGACCAACTTTGCATTCAGGAGAATGGGCAACATATTTCGGTGACATTTAGTTTTGCATTTAATTACCACAGAAATCAATGAGTCTTCAGCAGCAGATCTCTCACATTCTTAGCCTGACTGGCTGGAAGCTGGACAGAACAGACTCACCTGCACACACTTGATATTAATTCCAGGACAAACAAATTTCTTCCAGATGAGGTTGGCCTTGCTCTCTCCACACGTTATGGGGTAGATAATTTCCGGCTCCACATTTTCCACTTCTTCTGATAACTTCACAGCTAATAAGAGTTCAAAAGCAGAAAACACCATATACTAATACCTTTAGAACACACATGACTTTCAGCAATCAAATGTTCAGTGACAGAGTCATTATGATCCGTAAAAAAACTCTTCAAGTGACGATTAATAAAACCAGGAATATTAAAAGAGCTGGGATTGCAGTTAATAATATATTTACTTTTTAATTTTGAGGAAGTGTTTTATAATATTTTAAATAAGAATAGCAAGTAGCATATTGTGTAGGGTCTTCAAACCGGACACAGAGGACATGCAATTCTTTATAAAACTTCTTGTAAACATATAATTTAATTATTGTCTCTAATTAAATGAAATGTGACAAATCAATTTTCGGATTTGATATGAAACAGTTTTCACATAATAAAACAGTGTTGGGCCAAAGAAACAGCATTAATCAATTGTCAGACTTTATTTAATTTGCGTTTCCTTCCTCATTCAAAAAAGGTTTGTATTGTATTCTCCTATCGTACTGAAAACTGTTTATTCTTCTCCTTTTAGTCAGCAAAATTGGCTACATACAGTAATGAGCTATTTCTCACTAGGCCTATGCCTTTACAACGCTCATGGAAAAAATAGATTTATGCCTACAGAACGTATGTTTCCTAAGAAACACCTCCCTCACAATTTAAGACATTGCAATTATCATTTTTCTTTTCATTCAATTGATAGAATGTGTAAAACAGTTGATGGGGTCCTGGGAGTTTAAAGTTTGTTTTTCCGAAAAATGAAAAGAGCAAAACCTCTTGCACTGAATGATGGAAAATGAATTCACATGGGGTGATCTGGTCTCCTGGTACTAAAAAAGCCCCGCTCGCTAGCTGTGAGCCTAAACACACAATCACGCAATGATGCGTCTGAGCACTCCCACACACTTGACTCCTGTGAGTCTCAAACACACAGTCAAATGCGGCATCAGTGCTTGTTGTGTGGGTTATGCAAATCAGCCTTCTGCAACAGTGCTATGAAAAAAACAAAACAAAAGCAATGTAACTCTCTGTGCGGCTGCCTGTGTTTCAGAACATACCTATCATGGCCTCTTTCTCCAGCAGAGGGGTGGCGGTGAAGGTGCCCGTCTCAGCCTGAGCTTCCAGGCTCTGTTCGGTGATATCTTCGCTGCCAGGCAAAGACAAATCAGACCGGTCAAAATCACAAACCACTTGGCTGTAAGCGAAAGCACAGCTTTAGGGAAACCCCTGCCTGTGAGTCTGATAAAGCCACAGGAGGACTAATGCCCCACGTCCAGGGCAGCTGTCTGAAACACATAGCTCACACCAAAATGTTCACGACATCCTGTCAAGAGGCTTAATTCCAGTACAGAGATGTGGGAGAGCCTATCCCGGGAAGCAACGGGCACAAGGTGGGATACGCCCTGGACCAATTCATCGCAGGGCCCACACAGACACAAACTCACCCCAGGGCCAGTTTTCTCAGATGTCAATTAACCCACCAGCATGTCTTCAGACTGTAGGAAGTAAATGAAGCATCTGGAGGAAACCCACATAAACAAACTCCTTATAGATGGCACCCCAAGAATTGAACCCAGGACCCTGGCACTGCAAGGCAACAATGCTAAGCAATGGTTTACTTCTTGTATTGAGATACATTTTCATGGGAAAGATCTTAGTAGAACCACACTGAGGTACTATGACAATGGAATACTACCTGTCTTCTAAGAAGCCATGTACCTTTACTGAAACACATGTTTTTGGGTTTGACAGTACACTTTCAATGCAGTGTGACCTTTTGAAATATAAAGCACAGCCATTGCACTAAACACTGCAAGGCTCTGAGTACAATGTTGTTTCTTCTTGATTTTCTGAACATTTTAGGATCTGTACATTTGGCTTGTTTCACATTTTGCCCAGCCCACTGGTAGTTCCCTGCTGTTTTCTGTCCTCTGACCCCCAGCAAGCTCATTACCAAAAACAACCATCAAAGCTTTCTGGAGAAGCACTTCAGCATCATCGCAATGTCAAGACACCTGCTCTCCCGCAAGTCTAAAGAAATGCATGTTGCCATTTGGTAGAAAAAACATTATATTACCTTCTAACAGCTCCCCATTTAATTTATTCAAAACCAGAAATTCCTATGAACAATGCAGGTTGAAAAACAAGAGTCTACATTAATTGTAACAGTCTGAACAAAAATCAACAACACCACACTGAGTCACACTGAGACCTGTAGGCATTTGTAAAGATTGGCTGATGAGCTAGAAAAAGACTGATTCACCTATATAACCGAATGTACTGCTGATGACAACACCAGACCTCCCCATACAGAAGACATCAAAAGGTTTTAATGCTGACCATGGCACTGTTTCAGTGCTTTGCATCAGCTCTTCCGAATTCACATATGGCCTGTAGCCCTGATGACCAGATGTAGGAGAAACCAAAGAGGAATCTACAAGGGAAAAAGGTGTAAACTGGGAACAAGGTACCCAGAGAAGTCACGTTTCCTGCAGTGAAATATATTTAACAGCTTATCTAGTTGTAAGATCACCATTTCTCTTGTAAATAAACTGGGCAGTTTTCACCTGCAAACATTAAGCCCATGTAAACAAGGTAATTAATCTCAGATTTGATTAAGAACACAAATAAAAGGCTGGTGCTGGCACACACCAGCAGTGACTCACTGAATGGAGTGTGAGCTCTGAGGAACACAAGTTAAACTCAAACACGCCCAGTCCTGTACATACAGGTGAATATAGAAAAAAAGTACGTCTCCTACAGTACAAGTCTACATGTCTGGGACAGTAAAGGTAGCAGGTGAAAGACGACGGACCCCCGTAACCTTGAGTAAGCAGATTTTACTGAGATATTCAAAGCCGTGGAAGAGACTGACCCCAGATGACTGTTCCATCTAAAAGCAGACTCCCGCCAAGGCATATAACAATGCACATGACCACCAACAGCACGACACAAACTGATAAAGTCAATCAGCCTGTGGATGCTTCTCTACAGCCCTTTAAGACAAAGCCCTGCTACTAGTATTCTTCAATTAATATACTTCAAAAGAATGAGCAAAATGGTCGGATTGACTTTGTCTTGTTTTTAACCATTTACTCTAATTGTATTTTCTGGGGAAACACAAGTCACGGGGTTATGTCTGGCATCTCCAGCACACTGCATTTAAGATTTATTTTTGTGTTTGTTATTGTTGTTACCATATGACCATTACACTACTAGTGTAACAAAACTTAAGGCAGTGAGTTTTTTTTAATGTCCTCACTGTTGCCTGAAAATTAATATTAAGAATGACAAAACTGTTGAAAGGTGATATAGGGAAAAGAGAACTCAACCAACATTCCTTAGTAGTAAAAAAGTAGAGTTATGAAAAATGTGGTTTTACTGAGATAATATCACACTTTTTCTAGCTAAAAGAGATCTATTGAATTTGTAGCTTTTGCGACCTCTATAACTCTTTAAAGTAAACTATCCTTGCTGGAAAATTCAAAATATATGCTAAATCATAATCATTTTTGAGGTACATATTCTATTAGAAAAGAAAAATGACAGACTTGAAGATATACTGCATAAACGAAATAAGATATAATCATCATGCTGCTGTTTTTATTGCACTTGTAGTCACATATCTTGTCACCAGTGCTCTTTCGGTTTGAAATATTGCTATTCTGCCATAGAATTTGGAAGGAAAAAACAGATTAATTGAAATACTTTTCAGAGCTGAATGAGAGAAATGTCATTTCAAGTACACCTGTGCTGCTCCACTATAAGAGTCTACAACTTCATCAATGGGTTTCAGGTCCCTGTGCAATGCCAATATATTTCCCTTGTACCTTGTTTGTGTCCCTCTGCCCCGAGTAGCTTTTTTGAAAAACACAGTAAGCACGCTAAATAGCAACTAATGTACAATCAACAACAGTGAATCCTACAGAGGTACAGATGGCACAGAAATGTACATAATGAAAGCCATTAAAAACTAACGGAAACAATAGCATTTCTTGCATTTTTAATGCCTTTCCATATATAACACAATACAGAAAACAGGAGAAAAAAAATCAAGTAGCAAGATTGATAGAAATCAGCTTTTACTGTTCTCCACAGGAACAGACATTTGTAAGGCAAAACAATCTGTAACCAACACTGAAAATCATTCAGATTCCATATTATTTCAGACAATAAAAAAAGCTCCCTCTGATTAATCAAATACTCATTCTGAGCCGCACTGCTTGAGCAAAGCTGTATTAAGCAATGAATGACATGAACTGGGGAATATTAGTTCTGTACAAAACCAAGCTAAAATAGACGACTCTGTTCCGCGACACGCTGTGTGCGTGCGTCAGATACTTGCCTCTGCTGGGACAGCTCTGTCGTCACCAGCATGGTCTTCACCTCCTCCACAGCGGTGCCATCGGCCGCGGTGTCCGGCGTCGTCACGACGACCACCTCCTCCACGTGCACGCTGACCTCGGAGGACGCCATGGCCAGAGATCCGCTGTCAGCCGCGCCGCCAACTCTGGAGGAGGACATCAGAGGTCAAGGGTCAACCCTATTCGGACAGAGCAGTGTCCAATGAGATCTGCCTTGTGAGAAACGGGCTGTGGGGTACCAAAGAAAAAAGCCACCATATGCTTTATTAACTGCGGCATATGTTCCTAATTATAACAGAAGGTATAACAGGAATTCAGGAATAAGGTTGGATCCTAATCTCGCATACTTCCACTCACCTTGTATAGAAGCCTTGCACCCGGGATTTCCCATAGTGCATCTCTCTTGTACTCTTTCTGCTACTCCCTGGCTCATTCCTCACAATACAAACTGGGGGGTTTGGGCAGCTACAAGCTATGCCAAATAAACTCCCCATATCTTGTCTCTCTTGGATTTAGTAGGATCTCACCGAACTACTCCAAAAAATATCATGGAGATACCAGTTCAGCTACATAGCAGTGTTTCTAATAAAGGTATGGAGAACAGAAATAAAATGAAGTTTTTTTGTCAACATGTATAGTATAGCAAAAGCTGCTTATGACAATTATTGCATAACCTTGTTTCAGGCACAAGGTGACTAAAAGTGTGAAACTCTGAATACGTTTTAATAAGAGGCCATCATTTACCATCTGTAGTGAATATTTCCTGTTGTTGCAGGACCCCAAGACCAATAGCTTCAGTAATTTAATACTGCAAGATTTGTTTGGGTCATTTGCCAAATATATGTAGATATTTCTCCCTGGTTGTCTATCGATGCCCTTTCTTTTTATTATGCAAACCACTGCTATCTGCTGATCAAGGGGCAGGCTGTTGATCTTTGTTCTCTCACATCCCAGTGTCACTGGAGTGTAATAATAGACTGGTTTCTTAAAAGCCCAAACTCAGGTTTTATTACACTGACCTAAGTACGACTGTGCACGTATCCTGGTGATGATATCAAACAGCAAGATTAGGAAGCCTTTGCTCACACAGCATTACTGCCCCCCTAGTAATCAGGTTTGTCACTATGAGACCTATTTTCCAGAGAACGGATAAACTGCTTAACGAAAAAACGGACTCGCCCAACATACGGCCTACTGACTTAATCAGCATTGCCTTTGAAGATGGCAACGTTTTGAAAGGCTTGGGCTGTGAAGGCCAAAACTCTCGGCCTTGAATTCGCAGGAGCTCTGCACAATCCCAGGCAAGGACACCCTGATAAATGCAGGGAAGGGAAAAACCTGAGGCACGGTAAGTAATAAAGACATCTGTTAGAATGCAGATCCTTGTGTAAACTGAACGAGCTATTGTGACTCAAATAAGGTGTACTTGCAGTGCCTGCTTCAGATTTTTGAGAATTGTTGGTATGATGGTGGACTGTCTCCCGGCTGAATAAAGCTGGCTCTGTTGAACGCCCTCACTGAAGCTTTCTGATTCCTGGATTGGATTCTAACAGTCTGCATGCATAAAAAGGTCATCTCAAAAATTAGCCATTAGAAATCCTTTTTTTCTGTATTGATTTTTTACAGGAAGACGACGTCAGACCCTACAAGACCAGCTCCGCAGGAGGAAAGAATAATGAAGCTCGGAGCACTTCTGCCAAGCTCTGAGCCAAGACCGGCGCCGCTTCAGCACACAATTAGCCTGCTGGCTGATCCCGGGGGTAATTTATTCAGCCCGAGGTCAACAAAGAGGACTAGAAGAGTGCCAGGTCCCAGGGGTGTCTGGAGATGTGAGGACTGTCGCCAGCAGCAGGAGCCTACTGAGACTCTGCCTGAAATGTGCCACCAGGGCTCCACGCCAGGCGTGCGCACAAAAGAGGTGGGCAGCTCACAGCTGGTGCCGCTGAGGGCTGTCTTGCAACTGTGCCCTCAATCCCTTTCAACACACAAGAACGGGGTGGCCTCTCTTTTGAGAGACAACACGTGTGCCTTTGGTCGTGGTACCACAAAGCTGTCATCTGCCCCAGAACTGTCAATGCCAATAAAAGACACTTAATAACTGTCAGGACAAAGATAATAATACTGTACAGGCATTAAAGAGCAGATATTCCTGTTATACACAGGCAGTTTGTGCACAAATGGACAGCTGTCAGTATGTGGGTCCATAAGAGTTTGTGTAAAACAGTCCAATAAACTATACAGTGCCTAATGTGTGTGTTTTTTTTCTGTGGCTCTGAAAAACAAGCATTGTCTTTCCAGAGAGACTGTGGTCTACATCCCAAAACGAATTCCCACTTTAAACATCTCTGAACGAAGGCGAAACATATTCAGGGGGCAGCTATGTATCGCACATTATTTGTCACATGTTGTGTGCGTGGGCCGCCTGTATTCCTGAATAACTACTAAAAGCACACCCCAGACATGAAATTAACGCTGATTTTCCTACTGCCTCCTCCTCCACCCCACAAGTCCCGGAGCCCAGGCTGGGTACAAAGCTCACCCGCCCCCCGTGTGCCAGGGCAGCGTCAAGGGAAGTGACGTCAGACCAAGCAGCTGCAGCCGCGCAGCAGAGCCGACGACACCAACAGCGTCCTCCGCCCCCGACTCCATTTCCCAGCAGCCCTCGCCGTTACTCAGTCACTTGAAACTGTATTTGAAAACAGGGGATGCGGCGGCAACGAACTCATTGACCGTCGCTCGATTGCGTTAGCGTTAAGCCCGTGGCTGGTGTCGGTTTTAGCAAATGTTAAAATCAGAGATCATGCCTTTGTGAGGGGGGGGGGGTGCTTTTCAACGTGGGACTGGTGCCGAGCTGAAAAACAATGTTCAAACGTGATTCACAGGCTGCGTTTTATCTTTTTTTTTTACTTTTCAGTGCGTTATGTGCTACAGGGGATGTGAAGGGAAAAGCCAGCTCGTCGGAACAAAAGAGCGCATTCCTCAATTCATCGGGTTAAATTAAACGCTCGGGGAGACTGAAGGACTGAGCCCGGCAGCCCGTGTTTTTGCGCACTCCCGTGAAGTTGCTAGGGTAAATGCTATCGGGGTTGCGCAGCGGCACTCTTTTATGCCGCGGCGCGCACCCGCCGCGTTGCTAGGGCGAATGCCGCCGGGATCGCGCAGCGGTGGTTACGCCAGGCCGTACCGAAGGGCGCCGCGTTGACGCTCCGGAGTCGGCGGCGCGGTGGGCCGTATCGTCCGTACGGCAATCTCCGGGTGTGCGTCCTGACGCTCTGCCATCGAAACCACCCCCTCCCCCCCGACAAGCCCCTTACCAAGTGTCAAAAGCTTTCGGACGAAGCGCTTCTCTTACCTTCTGGGTTGGGAGACGGAGGCAACACCCGTTTTTGAGTTTCAATGGCAGGCAAGCGTGAGAAAAGGCTGCGTCTGTGCGGCAGCCTGTAAGCAGAAAGTGGTGACGCAGAGTGGAAAAGCAAGCAGGCGCGGGGGGCGGAGACTGCGCCTCCCGCGTCACCCGCTCTGTGGCCGCAGGGGGCCGCTGCTACAGCCGGGCTGCGGCGAGACAGCAGCGCCGACCCGGGCCCGCTACACAGGGAGCGCCCTGACCGCAACGCCTCCGAGCGTGGGCTTCCTCGCAGAAGCGTAGCGCCGAGCTGCAGCACTCGCTGCCCTCCATTACCGGAGGAAAACTTCCCATTCAGAGGTGTTTCTTTGTTGCACAACATGCTGCAGACCTTCAAATAAACAGTGATAATTGTTAATTGTTGATTTTTTTTAATGTGAAAGCTTGGATGTGTAGGGGGTCCTGTTTTCTAAAACACTGGTTCTTCCTGTTTCCCCATTAAGATTGATTTACATATTTCTTACACCTTTTTGTTCACCATAACTCACATGAAAATGTGTCTTATTACCAAGGGGTCTTTAGTAATGTAGACAGCCTTTTAAAGGGCCTATATCTTTAACATGACATTAATAAGAGTCTAAACTATACTGGCTGTAACATATCGCTAATATGTTTTTCATGAACCATAACAGTGTCGCATTTCCTTTGCAAATAAGTACTAATTGTTATCATTTTATTATAGGAACAGTCAAATCAGATAAGTCATAAAGCAAAGCTTTTCTCATTAGCCTGCTGAAAAGTATATTTTATAGATGGAAACTAGTTACCATACCTGTATAATTGTTTGATTATTGCATCATGTGAACTCAGGTTGCATCAAATTGAATTTTAGGTGTCCTGTAAAGCTGAAAACATAACGCGATTGAATGAGTTAGGGATGCCAATGTAACTGGTGTGCGTTCATCTCCACACACGATTCCCACTGCCTCTGGAGCTGTCATGACAATCTGATCAAGGGCACACAAATAACACGTCTCTCCAGGACTGAACAAAGCTGTGCTGGTAATGACAATTTGAAGGAAACGTGTCTTTTAAAAAGATGTGAAGATCATACAGCCCCCGAGGGAGACGGGGTTAGATGACGGTTATCTGAGCGCTATGTGGCCTCAGTTTGTCGGACTGCAACAGAACAGATGGCCTCCAAGGCTGATGATGTGCCAGTGATCGCGAGGTCCAGCAGATGGCGTAACTGTGGAGTAACACAACAATCCGAAAAAAGCTTCTAGCATGACTGTAGAAAAAAAAACCTGAGATACTGAAATGCATGTTTTGCGAAAGGCAGGGGTGGGGCATTATGCAGGTAAGTGAAACAAGTTTACTAAATAAAATCTGGACAATATATTGATTTAACTGCTTGTATGTCTTGCAGCCACCTCATCTACGTAGCCTGTTAGTGCATTAATTAATCAATTAATATAGAACTTAAGCCTAACTCAACATTATCTTTATTATAGAAGCCTTGTCACAGTGCAGGAACAAACCTCTACTTTGTCAACCTGGCCCATCGTTTTCCGCATCAGTACCCCAAATGGAAAAGCTGTTTTCCCAGGGTGCAGCAGTGAACACGTGACCTCCTGTCACGCACAGCTCCTGCCAGCTGTCTCAGCAGTGGCGTTTCTTCTTGGCTGTTTTCCTGACGCTCTCGGTCCTCTGAGGCTGTTGGTGTCTGGCAGCCTGGGATGCGTGGAAGTGTTTTTCCCTCAGAGATGGCGAGCTTGACGGTGTAAAACAGAAGTTTAACAACTGCGTCCGACTTCCCACCCGCTGACTAAAGCAACAACCTCCAGGCGTGGTTCGAGTGATACGTAAGAACATGAAAAAGCACCAACCTCTCTTAATGGGAATACTGCCTGCTCATACCTGTATACTTGTTTTCCAAAGGTTAGAAAGGATGTTTTGGCTCTGTTCCAGAATTGTTCAATAAGCCCTTTTCTGACTGCTGTTCCTACATTGCATGTCTATCACAGCAATGCTATGAGAGCAAAGGTACATATAAACAAAGATATGGAAGCTTTGAATTTATCTTTTGTGCGCTGCAGATCGGACATGCTGTAATATGAGAGTAAGTTCTTTGACTTATGATGTACCCTCTTAGTATTAGCAATTACAAGTAAGTCACTTCCCAGTACTGTGTTGGGACTCTGGGTAGCTACTACTGCATATGTTGTCAAGACTGCAGAGTGTGCAATTTCCCTCCAGCTGAAACAGACACTGAGCCCCCAGCTGCAGCAAAGCTGTATATGACCTACTTTCACAACCCATTTGCCAATTATACAATCAGAGAAGCGTTCCTTTGTCATCATTTGTATGAGTTAGGGGACCCTTTCCATATTGATATCACAAATGGCTAATTTAAATTAATTCACAGTGTATCATATTCAACATACTGTATGAAAAAGAATTACAATTTCATAAAAGTCATAACGTGATGTGTAAGCTTATCATCAGGGCAACAGTATAATCTACAAAACAGACTTTAAAAAAAATAAATGGATATTATGTGGGTTTCGACACAATTCAGTCTTAAACCCACAATTCAGACAATTAACTTGTTGGGCTTCAATGCTTCAAAACCTTGTTAGGAGACTGGGGGAGAATTCAATTTAAAATGCACATCAATGATTTAATCAATGCTTATACTAAAGGAATTCCCTTTAATTTGTTGTTTAAACTTTTTCATTGTTTCTTTGACAAAGGAGTTTGTTTTGTAACACATGCATGCAAAGTGATTGGGTATTAAAAGGCAAAGGAAAAAATAATTGATAATTAACTGCTTTTGCAGTATATAGCCGATGGCAATCTCCATTTTGATACAATAAAATAAACAAAAACAGAACGGTGTATTACCAACTTTATTATTATTCATTATCACTTCTGTTCACAATAACAATCCCAATTTGACACTGAACTGCAGGTGAGATATTCTAAAGTATGATTATACAAGTAGCTGTAAAGGTGTCCTCGTTTCTGACTCTTATACCCATTGGATTATGGAAGATGGCACATATTTTAGTAATCTACGAACTGCAATGTGGCAACAGTAGTATCAGTATTTATATGGAGTTGAGATTATATCTGCATGGAATTATTCAGAGCTGTCTAATTGGGCCCCCAGTAGGTGATGCAGAAACTTTGTACAGTAGATGGTAATGATGTACAGTACAAGAGGAGTCTTAAGGCAAGGTTATAACCTATTCAAGTACCAGCATGACGTGTCTGCACATAAAAGTAGGGCACACAGCGGAAAAGCTAAGCAGGATTGCCGTTGTTAGTACTTGAATGGAAGACTATAAAGATTATAACCTATCTGGCCAGGATAGAAAACACATGAGTACAGTATGTACTGTATATATTCTTTTTATGTGTGAAGTCATAACCATTTTGCATTACCTCTTGCACGGGATACTGTGGCTTTGATTCACCAAATGTCTGTTGCAATATTTCACCCTCGTTCACTCTAAAGACAAGTTCCAAGTCAGATTTGCGCTAAGATGCCAATCTTTTTTAGGAAAAGACAAATCTAGGGCTGGGCTGAAACTAGGAGCAGCTTTTGTGTAGTTATAAACATCAGCCACGCACGAAAGCTGTTTTGAACTGATCATATGAAGTTCCTATTCCTGGTTCCTCTGCTCAAAACTCAAACCCTTACAGCACATTACCATCTGTAATGCTGTCGCATCCTGACACCAGTAATAGTAGCAGAGTCACATGATAAAAACAGGACACCAACATCTCAGTGTGTGTGGAAACATCTTTGTGCTCCTTTCTTGTGACTACATGGTATTTCTTCAGCCCAAAACTCAGTATAATGACCTTGGTCCTGTCAAATTACCATAGAAACGCAATGATATGGGATATGGGTTTTAATTTTAGCCTATACTACTGGGACAGACACAAAGCCAGGTTGTTGCTTGTGCCAAGGAGCTCTCCATTTTGACAGAGTGAATAATTTCCTGGTGAATGACCTGCAGCCTGACGTTGTTAACACATGCCATCCTCTGGTTGACAGAGCGAGGAACTACAGAACTCCATAGCACCAAAATCAGCCTCATCGTGGTAGTGTTTCCGACCGGTGAGTTATATACAAACAGCAGGACTAAAAAGATGGCGAGTGGTGCAGTAGCAATGATGCATTAGGAGGAATGACTGGGGTTAAGAACTAGCTTTCAAAATGCAATCCTGAATATTGGTAAAAGATATTTACAGGGAGACAAAAAGAAGCTTCAAGTCAGAGCTCCACGCCAAGCAAACACCCTTGTACAGCGTAATATCTTGCAGGTTTTTTTTTTTCGTTTCCTACGTCGTACTACCATTACTGCAGTAATAAGACAAAAAAAAAATTTGGCTCAAGCAATTCTTGCACACGTACATACGATCAGTAAATATTTGGAACAGACAGTTATAATACACAATGACGTAAATGGCAGTTTTAAATAATGTCAAAATTCAGCCTTCAGGTTTTTAATTTAGTGGGTGATTTATTGGTTGTGCTTCAGTCTTGTTAAATTGGAGAAAAAGAGCAAATTGTCCTATAGGCAAGGACAGAAATTCAATTGATCTGGCTGTAAGAAACCCTTTTTTGCTCTCTCTATTTAAGTAATAAAGACTATTGAATTCTGAAGTGCTATGATGTCAGAATAATTGATCAAACACGTTTCTTTATTAGATGGGAATATGCAGAGCCAGCTGAAATGTAATTTAAACTCATCGTCCCCAGCTTGTTTACAGAGAGACATTTGTCTGCATACGTCTGGTGTGTTAAAATATTCGATTGGAGACAGGCATTCCCAAAAGCTATGAATAATTGATCCCATCAGAAGCAATTTTAGTTGTGTGCATTTTAAAATTTGCCATTTGAAGAAAAGAGAGGAAACCTAAAGGCTGATTTGCTAAATCAATATTAGAAGAGGAAAAGGCTCCATAGGCAGATTACAGAGTAACGCAGTGAGTGGACTAGTCGCAGTATTCTAATTGTTAGTCGTTTTCCTATTGCACAAAGAATGAAATTTTGTAGATGCAGAACAATGCATGACAGTCGATACAGAAATATTAAAAAAAGTTGCATTTTCCTAGCCAAAACTCTTCAGATGTGGAATTTCTTGATAAAGTCGTAGAAAATGTCTTCAACCAGAGAGCTCCGCTTGCAGCTCCTTGTTTCGGCGCACTTCGGCAGCATGTCTTTCCTGAGGAGAGACGGGCAAAGACAGTCTGTTAGCAGAGCCTTCGAGTCCCACTGGCGCCAAAATCGCCATCATCAGGCTGTCATGAACCGCCCACGAGCACTTACAGTAGACGTCACCGCATCCCCACGAGCAGCTCTCACCGCAGACATTCATCAATTATCATTCCACTCGATCTTCCCTATTTATTCCCTCTCCCTCCACTCACTCCCTGCTCACTATTGAGCTCCCCTCTCCTGAGCTCAACCTTCCTCCAACCTGTTGGGAAAGACTTTTTGGCTCTCGAAACCCGAGCACTATCCCTTGACATAGTTTTCGGACTTGGATACTTGTGGTACTCAACGGAACTTTTCCGGAAAAGACCTACAACCACCTCGCATGGGGTCCAAACCTGCCACTTCGCTGCAACTCCTGGCACAGGCATGGCATCATGGGTGCCGTGCAGTGACCTCACTAATAAGAGACATCGGTTTCTTGGCCACCGCAGAGGATGACAGAGCTTGACCTTGAGATACCAGAATGGGGCACCATAATCACCATCATCAGGCATGGCATCGTGGGTATCATGCAATGGCCTCCCTGGCAAGAATTATTGTAGTTTGGCCTTGAGCTATCTGAATGGGGAAGGGTGTTGCCTTCTACCTAAACCCACAAGGAATGTCCAAGCGACCAGTTGCTTAAAAAAGGCCATTTTCCTCTGGGTTCTCCACTTCAGGCTGCCTCAAGGTTAAAGGCAGCTGAACACATTCTGTTCTATATTCTAGCGTCTCCAAATGTAACACTTGAAGTTTTTTTCTTCCTCCTTTCGTCTGCATTTTCACCAATTTGTTCCCTACAAAAGCATTTAGACCTTGATTCAAGTAGTGAATAAGTACTCCAGTCAGCTCTTGATTCAAGCAGTCTATTCAAATGCGACCTGAAAAGGAGACGTTTCTTTTCAATTAAAATAGGAGGTGTGATGTTTTCGATGTGCATTCTGAATTCTTTTTTCTGAAGATCTAGGGTGTGAAGGAAAACCTTCCGTGAAGGAGCCTCAGTTCACTTTGATTTGAAGTTTGATGTGAAAAGAGACACAATTTGTGAAATCCTTTTTGTTAATAACAAGGCTTTTGCAATCGTGTCGGTGCCAAGGGGATTGCATGTTTCTTTTTTTCCTCTTGCTTGCTGTCTAATGGTCATAGCTTGTTGTTTCAGAAAAGTGTGGTTGTTAGCAAGGGGAAATACCGAGGAATCAGCTTCGTTTTCTTTGTTATCAGTGTCTTCTGGGACCAAATGAATCTCATCAATAATGTACTGTAATAGTGAAGGCTGTATGGCAGGTGGTTAGCATCACTGCCTCACATGACTGAGCCTTGGGTCGGGTTCCTGCTTGGATAGGGCCCTTCTGTGTGGAGTCTGCATGTTCTCCGTGTGTTTGTGTGGGTTTTCTCTAGGATCTCCAGTTTCCTGCGCTTGTCCCTAACCATCATGCTCCATCTGATTCATGTTCAAACATCACTGGGTCCTTTAGAGCCAAATTGTTTCTTCCAATGCCTCTTTGACATCAGTGTTAAGATTTTCTTTTATTGGTGTTCATAGAACATAAAGATATGAGCAGTGTTTACAGTGAGTCGGATTTTTCCTGATCGGTTCATTAGCGCTACATCAGTTAATAAATTAAAACAAAAGAAGTAATTACATTTCTTCATTTACACCATAAATAAAGTGGGCAAAACATTAATGTGTCACTATTAATTAGCTCATTCTAAATGAGCTAATTACACAGAAAAAGATATTTAAAGATATTGTGATGCCCCGGGGGTAATGGTCACCACTTGGGCATCCTCCAGACTCGCCCTTTTTTGCCTGCTGGGGAGCCTTTTCTGCTCCTGTACACACACTCTCCTCCGAGAGTGGTGCTGACACTGGGCCCCTCGTCCGGGTACCTCACGCACACTGGGAACTCTGGGGGCTTTGCTCGCGGATTCCTAGGCCCAGAGTCTCCACAACAACCCTGACACGGTCCTTCTTATGGTCACTCGCTGAACAGAGCCCTTCGCCTGCAGTTACCCAGGCTCAACGAGCTTCCCCCTGGTGACACACCAGCTAGGAGCTCCCAGCCACCCACACAGAGAGCCACTCCTGCTCCCAGGCCACGATGGCTACTGACCTTCCTGGCTCTCTCATCGGTCTGCCCTCGGACTTCCAGGTCTGCACACATCCTGTGTGTCCTCACATTTATAAATATCGTCATGTATATATATGTCAAATGTATGTCATGGCATTTGCCAAACCGCTTTATACCATACGGTGTCGTGGAGCCTACCCGACAAGCAACGAGCGCAAGGAAGGGGACACCCTGGACGGGGCGCCAGTCCATCGCAGGGCAAGTGCAAGCCAATCATACAGTCAGGACCCTCTCATCCGAAAGATGGCACCCACTACAGTATAGTGTCCCCACCACTATACCGGGGCATTAGGACCCACACAGACTGCAGGGTGAGCGCCCCCGCTGGTCCCATTAACACCACTTCCAGCAGCAACCATAGATTCCCAGGAGCTCTCCCATCCAGGTACTGACCAGGCTCAACCCTGCTGAGCTTCAGTGGGCTGTAAGTTGAGAGCTGCAGGGTGATATGGCTGCTGGCATAAATATGTACAAGTATGTCCATACATATTTATACTTCCAAACGAGACACTGCTGTAGAAATTAACACTGACAGCTGAGCTGTGTTCCCACTCTGTTTCATGTGTGGTGCTTTCTTCACGAGGGCAGCCTCGCCACGATCCCCCCCCCCGCGAGAACCCGCGCGGCGAGCCCTTGCCTTCTCGCGGAGCCGTTCCTTCAGGGCGTTGAGGTAGGCCTCTCGGTTCTCCTTGTTGACCTCCATCTTGTAGTTGAGCTTCTCCTCCGCCATCCTGCTGAAGTTGTTGTTTTCCTCCAGGGCCTTGTGCAGCACCTCTCGCTCGTGCTCGCGTTTCTCCGCCAGCTGCTTCAGCACCTGGGCCTCCTGGGACTGCAGAGAGACACACACATGCGCGGTCGGTTTCCTGCCAGGCGGGCGCGCCTGCCTCAACCCCTCTCCCCCCTCCCCAGAATGCACTGCTGCAGCCCTCGACAGGACGCCAACGAATTGTGTGTCAGGCCTGGCACTTGCGCCCAGCTTTCTCATGCATTACTGGGTCCTGAAAGGTTTGAAAGCTTCACGCTGCAGAGATCCCTGCTGCAATGTATTAATACTTAACGAGCAATCAAGGATTGACAGCATTCCAAGTTTGCCCTGGAACTAAATAAAGCTTCTCTTATTCTCAGTAAAGAACGGTCCTCAAGAAATCCTGCTTCTGCTGTGGAACACATCACACTGCCGTTACCTTACAACTCTTAGGTGAAGCTATCTGAAAGTTTTAGCAAAACCCCTGAATAGCTTTGCCCTTCTGGTACGTACAGTCTTTTTGAAAGAAGAAATCAGAAAAGACCAAATGACTAGATGGAGATCTGAACAGTGGGCAGCTTTGGAGTGCAGAGCTACAGTATGTATGCCGGAGTGTTTTAGGGGAGTAAAGATTGATTTCTCTTTCAGAGAGTACACACGTAGCAACAAGATCTGAAATGACTGCAAAAATAACTTGCACGCCATGAGCTCAGCCGCACGTGCTCTGTGGGGGCCCAATCCCAGAGCCAGGAGCTTCTCATGCAGCCAGTGAGTCAATTTAACTCAGACAGATGGCGTGTGGCCTGGCGTTGTGCAGTTTCTGGCGGATTGTACCAGGCTGTGCTGCGAGATTCGCCTTTTCATTTTTTTTTCACACAGAAGGGCTTATGGAAAAGGGATTGAACAGATTTCCCCCCAAAACACCTTTAACAACAGTAATATGGTTTACAAATGTTTGCTTTAGCTGCAGAGCTGGAGGAAAATGCCTGCCAATATTCTGGTTTGTTTTGCAGATTTCGGTATAGTGTACCTGGACAGAAAATCAAACTGTGTCTGAGAATTTTCTTACAGGTGACAAAATCCTACACGTTATTTTTAACAGCTAGGATTATAATTGTTAACAATTACATTCCTGTCTTTCTTACTTAATATATCTTATTTTTTTAACACTTTATATAATAATACCTCTATTTGTTCCCACTATTCAGTTCTATTCAGTTCAATTCAAGCTTTATTGTCCCCTAGTGGAAATTTGTTTTATGGCACAGTCAAACACAACACAATGACAAATATACATCATCAAAAGGGAAGAGATTACAGGTGTGTTACAGGAGAAAAGAAACAAGAGACAAGGTAGTTACTTTGCATTGTTTAAGAGTGTGATTGCAGTGGGAATGAAAGATTTCTTGAGTCTGTTGGTTTTACACCTGGGGGCACAGAGGCGTCTCCCAGGTGGGAGAAGTGTGAATTCACAGTGGAGGGGCTGAGACACACACTCCCTGATGCTTTTGGTTTTCTTAGTCACCCTCTGTTTGTAAAAGATGCTTAAGTTGATTTGATTATTCCCGATTATTTTGCAACTTATATTCACTCATTTACCCAGCCTATTGCAATTACCAGTACTTATGTTGCCAAACCAACAAGTGAAGCAGTATGTTTTTGTCTTGTTTTGTTAACAAAATGTCCTAATAAACAGTCTGGATAGGGGGAGTGTAAAAGCTATCAAGAAGCCACTAGAGGATGTTCTGGGGCTTTTTGAAGCTTTTTAATTTCTGTACATTTTGTTTTTTATTTTGTTGTCAGCCTATCTATGAAGATGAAGATCTCAGAATGTCTGCAAATGAGAGGAGTTTATTCAGGCCAGCTGGTTCAGTAGGTTGCTAGTAGCTAATTGATCCTAGGATCTCATCCAGGCATTTCTTCGAAATCGTATTCAACCACATGGCTTGGCAGCTTGTTGCCTACTTTGGGTGAAGAAACACCTTCTGTTCTCAGCTTTGAATGTATTTCCACTGTTTCTACTCGGTTCCTCTGGTACAGGTTTCCCTGTTGACTCCATAGTGCTGCCTGTGCCTTCGACTACTTCTGGACTTCCGAATCCGGTGCACTGAAATGATTTTCTCTGCAGAGAAAATTATTCTTGGACCATAAAATCCCCACGGAGTTAATCGCCCGTGCAGGCTGAAAAGCCAGCGGAGAAGATCAACCGCCAAACGCATCAAGAGTTAAAATGAATGGCGGCAGCCATCACACTTACAGAGATTTGCCATGAATTACAACCCCCAGAGCGAAGGGCGCTCTGAGCCATGGGAGGAAAAGGCAGCAATTATGCCATTAAGATTCAAAATCTCAATTCTTATTCATCACAGAAGAGAAAGCACTGTGCTCAGGAATTAAATGAATTTTTAATGGGCCTTGCTCTTTAAATATTAATCTACAGTGAGCAGAAATATTTTAATAGGATTTTTGTTTACTCCTATTTTGGCTGTTGTTGTCCCTTTCTTTGAATTTTTAAAATACGATTATATGCCTAAAATAAAAAATTCAGAGCTTTCATTAAGCGGCGCAATCTGGGCTCTTGGTTTTTTTTTTTCACATTATGAAGATAAAACCCCCAAGCGTTCTCATGTGCCAAAGAGAAGCAGCTCCAGACAAAAGACCTTGTGTGGCAGCGTGTCTACAAAGAATTAATTAGTGCATTGATATTATTTAGGTAGTTTAAAACATGCGGCTGGAATGAATTAATTTTTTTTTTAATTTAATAGTTGATCATGTTTTCAGGATCGATTCTGCTAGTGAAAAACAACTCATTAATGGTAGGTTGTTGGACCATCATGTCAACTATATGCCATATAGTTTGTATTAATAAAGGAAATGTGAGGCTGTTACCATGGACAAAAGATCAACTTTAGGCTATTATGTACAGTATATGCTATGTCACTTAGACGAATGGCCAAAAAGAGTTGAAAATGTTTTTCTAACATTTAATCCAATCTTTAGGAAGTTATTTGTGAAGATATTATTGGCTGTATAAAGCTGTCTTCAAATAAAATGTTAAGGCAAAAATAAAGATTCATGCCACGAGCTTAAAAGTACCAGCTGTGACCTATAAACCAGTGGTATTTCACCAGGGCAGTTTTGTGTTTGAGGTCTGTCTCAGCTTGGATAGAGTCAAAACTGAAACCCAACCACCTGCAGCAAATTCCAAAGTGCCATATTGGAATGAGCCCCCTACTGAGTGTGTCCAAATGTCGGGGTCTCAGCGAGCTCGTGTACCTCCTGCCATCCACCAAAATAAAACCCCTGCCGAAGAAACATGCTGAGATGTCCGTATTTTATCTTGTGACCAATGTTCCCTCTAATTTGTAATGGCCTGCGTGCGCAAAGATTTCAAGTTGTGCAAATTTTTATCCCCAGTGACAAAAACTTGTGCGCACTAAATTGAGTGTATGGAAAATTGTAAACCTGAAATTATTTTTTTGCTAATATAGTCATTCTCATAGAAGCATGGAGATCCAAAAGACTGGGACAGTGATTCAATGTCCCCAGTCATCAAGCATAGATATTGATGATCGAGTAGCAATAATAATGCACACAGCCAAGTTGGGCCTCTCGCAGCCCGTCTCATGTGGTCAATTTAGCATTTTTCAATTGACGACCGTGTTTGTTTTATTATTATCATATTTTGCGGGGAATTTAATTTTTTGTGCGCAGTTCTATTTCCTATGTGTGCTGATTTCATAACCTGTGGGCGCGCACCACCGCGCACAGCTTACAGGGAACACTGCTTGTGACCTTCCATCTTGAAAACCAGGCTCTTCACGTTTTGTTGCCAAGGTTACCTCTGCTTTCACCTCTTTACTAGCTGTGCACATTTGCCAGGATGAAACAAAAAGATTGAAAATCACCCCCAGAGAGCCTTATATGGGAAGAACAAGCTGCACATTATTTTCCTCTTCTGCCTTCAACCCATTTCCAATAAAGAGATGAGTGATGCTGTCTGTCAAATCACACCTCATAGACTCTGGTTTAGAGTGGCATTTTTTAACAAATCCGAAAACACATGATAGATCATACTGTAACTGATATAAATATCCTACACTCTGTGTTTTTACACTACTTTTATATATATGCTTTTAGTAAGTCAAGCATAAATATTAGTATCCTGTGTCTGGAATAAGGTTATTCACTAATTTATGTAGTGTAATCAATATTTATGGTTAATCTCTTCTTTTCTTGCCAATGAAATGATCTTGTCTAACTCTAACTGAACATTTACTGATCTTATTATTAATTACTTAAGATTTCCTAGTGTGGGGGGGGGTTCTCTATCCCATTCCTGGGAACACCCAATCTTACGGTTCTCTGTGCCAGTGAGCTCTCTCTTATATAAATCAACCCTTAATTGATCTAACGAGCTAACAATCAATTTGTTCTGTTTAGGATCTCAGTTACATAGTTGGTCTAATTGTTTAATTAACTGTATAACTGTAATGGATCTAACCTGGTTCAGAGGTGTTTAATAAGAAGCTGTACCTTTAATGAAGTAAATGCTTTGAGCACTCAGCCACAGAAGACCTTAAGAAATATCCCATATACAGCATGTCTAATTTAAGAAAACAATTCTTGGTTAATTGGCTACACAGGTTGAAACTCAAACCAGAAGATACTAGGCCCTCCAGGACACTTTGGCTCAGAGGAACCAACAACACGTTAGTCCATCTGCTCGTACATCATTTCTTTTTGGTACAAAGCACAAGCCACAAAGTCCAGTAACCTATAAGGGGGTCACTTTTCCCCAGGTTCATCATTAGTTTGTTATGTGTTTCAGCTGTAGATACTACAGTACCATTGGGCCTCCCAGTCTGGTAGCAGAAAGCAGCCTTTCGGAGTACTTGGAAGCTGTGCAGCCAACTCTACACGTCTGCCAACATGCAGAGTCAGTTGATTCCATTTTAATTAAAACAAATAGGTCCGGTGCTGGAGATGCTCTCTTAATTCAACAGCCCATCCATCATCCCACTAACTTTGAATGCAGCAAACAACTACAGCAAAATGAGGGCAAAGCCAATTATACTGGTAGTTTGCTTATATAAATGGAGAAGAGTTTTTTTTTTTCTTTTACACACAGAGTGCTTGGATATTGCAAAGAGACGGCAGCTATTGTTTGAACTACATTCACCGGACAAAGGGTCACATTTAATTAAAAACAGGAAGCAGAAGCTTCCAGAGACGCTCAACCTCTGCCACCATACCAGAGAGCAGAGTCTCGGAGATGTGCTGCCACTGATATGTTGGGGATGCATTTTTGTTTTGGAGCCGGTAAGCAGCTTAGCAGCTCATCCATCTAGAGAGGACATATTATAAGAAAAATGTAGAGCTCGAAGAACAGCAAGGGTTTTGTTATATATTTCCCACAGCACATAAATACCAGAGCCCTTTTTACCTTACAGCTGCTTTTGTGTGTCTGTTTTATGGTGTCCCACATATTTAAGAATACCCACTACAGAGTCCCACCTCCAGACATGTGTATCGCAGTATATAATAATGCTAACCTGATAGAACTCTGTACCCCTTCGGTAGCCCCTAAAGTGAAAGTAGGACTAAACACTCTGGATGGGATTTTCCTTTTAGATTAACTTGTGTCCATTACACTTTTTTTTCAAGGAGTGGGCCGTCTGCATACAGATCCACCCGTTGGGAAAATAAGGACTTTTGTTCATTTAAAATAATGTGGAATCCAGCAAGACAGAAACAAGAGGAATTCTACCAGCCTGAAAATTGTAGCCACTACTTCTCTGTAGTCTGTTCACGGCTCTTTTTGCATTATGTTTCTTTTTAAATGAGTTAAAATCCTCTATATTTCTTTTCTCCATCCTGCAGTCAGTCACTTAAAATGGAGACCGCACACATGCAGTGATGTCTCCATTTTAAGTGACTGCAGTGATATTCTGGTCCTGACGTACCTTTGTAATTTTCATTGTTGCCTGTGGTAATCTGTGCTGTCTAATGCAGCAATAAGAAAAGTGCTGCAGTGGGGGGTAAGTTTCGAGAGCAGAATTTGTAAGGTAGTCTCTTTCAGACATCTGCACGGTAATATATCTATCAAGCCTCCACTCTTCACGTGACTATAGGACAGTAGCTGTTCCCCCAAGGTAACTGTGCCTCGACACTTTTAATATTCAGCACGGCAGAGATTGTTGTGTCACACAAGAACGATAATTGGTCTTCAGTGTGCTCATTAATGCAGAAAGCTGTTAACCCAAAGAAAATGAAACAGGGCTTCCAACTCAACTCCCAGAACATCAAAAGAAGAAACGCTTCTGCAAGTTCTGAACTTCAAAGAAAGATTTTCTTTTTTTTCCCCCCAGATCGCATTCATGTACAGTGTAAGCTCAATCGTGTAGAAAGCAGCCCAAACAAAAAGACTCGCGTTTGGAATTAAACTGGGGGATGTTGCTCTGTTGGTACAATTATTTCTACAGAGCTACGTTCAAAGGAAGAAGGATGAGAATGTTTAATCTGCAGCACTTCTTAGGAGAAAACCTAGCAATTTTGCTGGAGGGGTGTCTGTCTTTTAGTTTAGGTTCTGCCGACATTTGTGGGCAGCCTTATGAGGAATGAAATCACTTTGGACGTTGGAGAGCTGAGTATGCTACTGCTATAGCAAACCTACAGTTGACCTCAAATGCAAATATCTGGGATGTGCAGTCTTACCGCTTATGTGCTCTTCCAGTGGCTCAGCCGTGCTCTTTGTGTATTACACTGAGTTCAGGTTCACAATAGCTGCCGTCTTGGCTTCACTCTTATGCTTAAGAAACTTAGCTGGGATGAAAAACACGCCTCCGTGCGGAACAGAGGCCCTGTGACAATAGTGCTGTGCTCTCCTACCTTCCTCCTTTCCTCAGCTGCCTCCAGCCTCCTCTGCAGCTCGTCCAGAGACATGTCCTTCTTCTTGGGAGGGGAGGACAGGGACTGGGGGCGGTCTGGGGACAGGTCAGATGGGGCTTTCAGTATGACCTCGAAGGACTGTCCAGAGGCCCTCTTATTGATTGGCTTCACTTCCATGTCTGCTGAAGAGGCGATAAAAAAAACAAACGACACCGTTAAACAGCTCTATAAAAGTCCTTCATGGTTACAGCACGTGGTTTCTAGCAAAGAGTATGGAAGTCTGGTAAAAAAAAAAGATATAAACCAGGGCTATCCATGGCACCTGCAAAATAAATGGTAAAGCCAGCAAAAATGGCAAGGTTACCATGGCAACCCTTCATGAAGTCAGCCCTGCTGATTTAAATTAGGAATCTGGATACAGATTCTTTTGATTATGTTTGATCTGGGTTCCTCAGTTCCTCAGAAATGGCATGGTGGGCAGTGGTTAGTATTGCTGTTTTGCAGTGCTGGAGCCCTGGGTTCAGCTCTGTACCTGGGCTGCTATTGTGTGGGGCTTGTATGTTATCCCCATGGTCCCCATGGTTTCCTATGGTTTTCTCCCACATTCCCAATCCCTACTGGTAAAAGTGAATGTGTGTGTGTCTGCCCTGCAGTAGACTGGTTTTCTTATGTCTTGTGCCCGCTGTTTTCTGGGATATGTTCAGTCTTCCCTGTGACCTTGAATTGGAAGAAGCAGTTAGGAAATGGATCATCACCTGAGCATAGTAGCCATAAAAATTTACACTTGTACAGTATGTACGTTTTTCAATTGTTTCATATTATAACTTAATAGTATAGTAATAGGTGGTATATTACAGTAGAAGGCAGGAACATTTTTACATCTAGTTTAAAGCGTTTCTACATTTAAAAAGAAATGTACCTCCATTTTTCCGTCTAGATCTTTTAAAAGGTCCACCATGTTAGTGCCGTCAGAGCAAATGAGTTTTCAGCCTTGAACTTTAATAGTCCGTTATTGAGTCTTTTCGGTGTTGACAGTGATAAGTTTTACGATAATTCAATTTTATGCTGTTGTCTTTTAATAAAAGTAGACTGCCATGGCTTGTAAAATGTCTTCCCCTGTCTGTGCCCCAGCCCTCCCTCTGTATATGTCGAAATACTAACTGTAATCATTATAATAACCCAGAGGCAGCGCTATCAGAGAGAGACGGAGATTCTGGAAAGGGCCCGTTAAATAAAAGCAGCCTTCTTAGACGTATTAAGTATATGGCAGGTATTACATTTAATGTTACTAATTTGCAGTTATTTCTCAAGACCTGCTATTAATATGTGCACACATTTAAATAATTTGCATACACACCTCCAGTGGGTGGAATGGTAATCATTTACATTTTTACTGCTGGGTGAATAAATGCAGGGAAAGGGGAAATCTGTTTTTTCACTAACAGTTCAGCATTAACATATACAGAATGGCAGGTACACAATACAGGTACTTACTGCTGATTAACTGGCATCCATTTCAGTGGCTGGATAATTGCATTTTTAATGGAAACATGATACAATTCACCATAATCCATTGCTAGCTTCAATGTACACCTTGTGCGTGCTTGGTGCAACTCATCTTACATTTTGCGTGTAGGAACATTTAGTGAGGACAATTACTCATAGTCTAGATTGGAGATTGTGAATATATAATGTAGCCTTTTTTGCAGAATATGCCTCTTCTTCTGTATTTTTCAATATAATAGGTCTTCTGTAGACCTATTAACCGATTTTGCATTGACACGGTTTTCTGAAATTAGAAGCTGGCCGATTTTAAAATGCTATTTATTTACCACGGATGAATCACTAACGCTGTAGCACAGTACAGTCTATGCTGTTTTATCCTGTCTCGTCCTGTTCAGGCCTTTTGCCAGTTCTGTGCTGCTCTTCCCAGACAGAGTGCAGTTTCTTATCACACGGCGCTCATACTAACCTCCATACTGGTAAATGCTGTTAGGGTGTGGCTGTGAGTAGAAACAGGAGCAGATCAGGGACAGCATGGACATCTCCTTCATCTTCTCCTTGTAGGCTGAAAGAGAGCACCAGACAGTCTCAGAAACACCAGGTGTTTTCAAGCACAACAGGCATACCAGATATGGAACAAAAGGTGTGACAATCACATTGTGTGTGTATGAACATTTTACTCAATTTCTCAGGACAATTACTCCTAGTCAAGATTGGAGGTTGTGAACACAAAATGTCGCCTTTTTTCCCAGAATATGCCTTTTACTCTGTATATGATACAGTATGTACGATGAATCGCTACAGAGCAGCACACGGGCCTAGGGAACTCTCAGAAAGAGGTTTGAACTGGATGCGTAGTTAATTTCTCAGCGATCCCTGAGCCCTGTCGCACCCTCCCTTGGAAAAAATCACTAGACTGCTTTGGTATGAAACCTCCGACGAGGGAGAAAAGGGCCATTTTGATGTTTCTTAATGCTGCCAACAATTTTACGTCCAGCCGAATCAGGTCGGGAGTAATTTGACGCTTTGTTCTTTCTCATCTGTCAGCTTCCAATGGGACGGCGTGCCGAGCACTCTGACTGCTGAGTGTTTCCACACAAACTGTTTCCAGGAGTGCCAGAGAGCCCGGCTCATGCTCTGGGGTCGGGATGCACTTTGGCTCAAGTGCCTTTTGCGAAGAATAGCACGAGTAGCCAAGAGGATTCAAATTATCCTGAAATAACATAAATGACAATTCTTTTCCAATTTGTACTGCTGCGGCCACTGGGATGATATACTAGACTAATGGAAAGCTGTTTGCTGGTCTTTTATGTGCATGCGTATTGGTAAACACAACCTTGCCAATAACAACAAGTCTAAGCATTAGAGAAAAAGGATTTCCAGTAAGCATATTGGTTTTCAAAACAGCTCCAGGCAAAATCTCTTTATATAAAGGCAAAAACTTTATACACTTATCTGTGCTAACACAGAGCTCACTTGTTCGAGCCATAGCTTATGTAGCAATGACATATACATGATATTTATTGACTAAAGTTCATATGACAGATGAAGACTGTCATGAAATCCTGTATCATCAACGATGTGGTTGTCAGCGTTGGTCAATGTGACTGTAAGAGAAATGTTTTTTTTATTACTAGAAGGTAGGATTTAAATTTAAGTGTCCTACAGCCAGATGTCACGACACAATACTTCTAATGAGGTGACGCTGTTTGATGAGGGACATGACTTTACAATAAAATGTTGGCATCCCAAGCACTAATTTCCAAGACCACCTACTGTATCTTGTAATATCACCATGTGTGGTGATATTGCAAAAAGGGCTTCATTTGCTGTTATTTCTGTATTCAAATATTCATTACTATGACCTTCCTGCTGTCAAATTTCAACAAAAGAGAAATGGCTGTTACAGCAGAAGTCACATCCCCAGGCTGATCTGAATGCAGTGCCGTCAAAGGATTTTTTTGTGCAGTTCTCCTCATTTAGGGTAAGGGCTGATCACATGGTATATAAGAAAAAAAACCAGCAGCTTCCGCTGTTCGGAATTCATGTCAGTTATAATAAATCACCACTGCAGCCTGCAGTAGAAGTGAATTCAGAGTGGTATTGCGATAATAAGAAGCACAGACTTCATGGACACCCTTCTTGAGCCCCTGTCTGAGCCTTCAGTAGCTTTGCTTGTCATTTACTTTCTTAAAAGACTTCATGGTAATGCAAACGTGCCGCGAAATGATCGGCCCGGGAGATCATTTGTTTCGCTTACATTTTTCCTATTATGTGATAAAATGAAGGCAGAAGAAAAGCCATCCACAGCTCTGTACGTCTCCCGCACAGTAATAGAAAGACGATCAGCGAGCGCTGTTAATGCATGCACGCTCACGGCTCCCGCCTTTGAAACATTTCATGTCTTAACGAATTCTGAGATTTGGAGGGAGTGCTGTTCAAGATGCAAGCCTTCCTGTGACACTGTCAGAACGTATCGGCCTCCAGAGGGAACAAGCTTCGCAACTGAGATTAAAAGAGGCCTCATCTGCGAGGACAGCAGTCTCAGACGTGTGTCATGGGGAGACTGTGTTTCGAAAGAATTGTTTTGTTTTATTCTCAGCGGCAAAAGTTCATTTAGAGCAACAAAAATTCAACCTTGCTGTGCATACAAAAACAGTAATAATTAAGCAGCTTTAAAATGTTAATTAAGAAGGTGTATTCCTTTATTATCCCTGTTATTTTCGAAGTCGATTGATCACATTAAATGATAATTTAATAATAGCCTGCCGAGAAGATGGCATTAGCTGAAATATGGAGCTACCTTTTTTTAATTGAAATGTGTCATTTTCACTCACGCTTCGTTGACTCACTTCCTCACTGTTCACTTACTGTGGAAAATACTAGAATATGAATGGGCAAAGAACAGGGTTTGTGCTGTACATCACGTTTCCCTAATTAAACATTTGTTTCAGCACATGATTGGAAAAACCAGGGTGAAGCAGATCTCTTGTTCAAAAATGGCCTGTGCAACGAAGATGGATAAAGTTCTGTGTCATCAAACAGAATGATGGACTGGCGATTTGGTATGTTTTTTTATCAGAGGGCATTTTATCAGAGGGCATTTTGATTAAACAAGCAGCCTGTCCTGCTGGTCACTTAAAATACAGATTTCGAAAACCTTCCAACAAAGCCAGAAGAAGAGTCCAGAATGTTGGGCAGCACTTGCTTCAGGCTGACCAGTCGCTGTGCTGGTTGTGCAGAAGCAGCAGGACACGCAGCCTGATCTGCGCAGGTCTGACAACACTGCCGTCCCTGTGTTACAACTGATGTGATCTGTGCGCCCCGTTCACATTGCTCCCACTGAAAGAAACCAGCTGCAGGGAGTGAAGGGACTGCCAGTCACTGTCACATCAGCTGAGCTTGCACATGCGAGTGGCTGTGGCCCACATGGCTGGCAAACAAAGGTCAGCTTTGATTTGAAAAAGCAGCGTGGAGAAAGAAAACTCCATGAAACAAACGAGACGTGAAGGCTGGCATTAGAGATGACCCCTTGAGCTGATTTATCTGTGTTTGACCAGCGTTGTGCTCTCGGGGAAAAAAAGAGCTGTATAAATCACTCCATTTTTAAATAATTGGAATAAAATTTCGGCCAACGTTTCTATCTGTGACGTTGAGAGCTTAGTATCGTAAGAAATTGTGGTGGAAGTACATTGCTACCAGTGCCTGTGATAGCTGTGTTCTGCAGCAGTATATTCAACAACTAAGGTAAAGGTTTATTCCATGCTGACAGGTGAAGAGAAAAAACACAATGTTTCAGCTGGGGAGCCTCCTTCAGGTGTTTCCTGAAGGCTCCACAGTCGAAACGTCGCATCTCTTTTCTTTTCCTTTCAGCATGGAATAAACCTTTATCTTTTCCTTTGCAGCCGACGCACACTGACGCAGCTCCCTACTTGACTGTAAGAGAACGTTCATACTGTCTATGCTAGGGTTATGTGTAGCTTAGTCTGTATGGAACTTTCTTTTATTTTCCAAGACAAAACAGGGCAGGCATGCTGTCCAGGAAGCAGGGTGGAGTGATGGTTTGGGCGGTAGGTTCATTTTTGGAAGGTTGCAGTCCCTTTGAGCAAAGTGCTTCACATACTGTAGATCGCCGCATTAAAATGCCACACTGTACAAATTTTAAAATAAGTAGCTTTGGAAACAAAATGTTAGCCAAGTAAAAAAAAGTGACATGAGTCACCTGTACTTGGACAAGCTGTTTTAAATGTAAAGCCTAAAGCATTTCTGCACACAATTCTAATAGGTAACAGAACAATACTTCACCTTGGACAATTCCGTTGGAGTTCTTATCCTTTCCAGACATCTGAGGCTGAGCGTAAACTGAAAATAAATACCAAGCAACATCTTTTTAGAAGCCTGTAACAAAGTCTTTTTAAAGGGCCAGGGAATCTTAGCTGTCTGTTCCTCCTACGACACTGGGAAGTAAGGTGTTGTAAACATTTCTGTACACAATTCAAATCTTTGCGCAGAACAATTTGTGAAGTAATAATTATAATGTATGCACACCTGTCTTCAGTTTTTAAACAAATCAAAGGCTTGTTTATCAAACAGAAAATAAACCAAAGTACATCTAAAGCAAATGATCAAGCATTGAAAGGACAATACATGTAGATTTGGGATGAACAGAAGGCAGATCAGGGAAACTGTTATAGTGAAACACCGAAATGAAAAAACATCCTGACCATACAAGCTACAACAAGCTGTGTTTACAAGGCCTAAACAAGCAAGATACTGTAGTTCACATCTGCTAACTGTCTTTAAAAAACCCTGCACAGAAATTCACTGCTCCTGTCAGAAAGATCAACAGGACCCAAGGAGTAAAGAGAAGTGTATTAAAATGGATTTAAAGTATTACAACCTAAACTGAAAGGATTTGTATTTAAGACAGAACATGAGTCACTGCCTAACGCGAGTCTCTGGAACATGCTGTCTAGTAGGGCTGTTGTTGATATCTTGGGCTTCTTCCAAAAACAGCTGCATGAGACCACAAGATAACATTCTGGAAGATAACATTCTGGATGTCACAATCCAAACAGGCCTATTCGCCTCCTCTCATTTGTAACCTTTGTTATTCTTGTTGTTCTTGGATTCTCAACTGCTGCTGTTCCTTAAAACCCGTCTCTGATTGATTAGTGCAAACCTGCCAGAAAAGGTATCCTTCAAAAATATGAAACAAGCCTTTTTTAAATTTCACCAAGTTCCACGCCATGTTCTCTGAGTTGCGTCAATGACAGTAAGTATATGATGTACAGAATTGACATGCTGATGACTGAAAATGTGGGGTGAGCCTTCAGTAAAACTAGTCTTTCAGAGCTTCTATGACAAAGAAAGAAATGGATTCGGCCAAACCAAGTTCAGCAAGCTTTGGAAGTTGAATGAAAACTTAAAACCTGGCAGGTTACCACCACTTGAAATAAAGGACTTATCAAAAATCTCCAAAGATTTTTCAGGATAGGGCTTTAAAGAAATGTGGTTTATTATAAATAACAAGGGAATAAGCCTATGCTCTTTCAATTGTCATGATCTTGTGATTCAAAGTTACGTCTAAATCAAAGCGGAGTGCACAAAGACATATTTTAATCACGTGTTAAGAAAAGGGACTTGTCATGAAGCTGCAGTCTCAGGGAATGTGTTTGATTAGAAAGGATGTGGTGAAGTAACATTACTTCAAACAGCGGGCCATGGCAGTTTGTAGTGTTTTGTTAAACAAGACTTTTTTCATGTCTTTCCTAAATACATCAAGCCAAACCGTCATCTTTTAATGATGAATAACATTGAGTAGGACTTTCTGTATTAAGATATGCAGGGCTGGGAAAAAAGGAATTTTAGAGAACTTGTCCTATACTATAGTACAGGACGTATGATAATTAAAGATACCCAATTAGTCACGTTCAGTACCCAGTTTGACAGAGGATGTACAGAGGATGTCGTTGTAATTGCTTCTTAATAGCTAATTAGTAAGTATGAGGAAATTTATAATTAAAGCTGACTAGGCTGTCCTTAATTGTAGGAAAATTGGTTTATTATATAAAAACACAACTCTAGCCTCATTAACATGTTGCAGCTTCTGGATGCCTTTTTATGTGTGTGCTAGTCATACATTAAGGAATCATTAATGATCTGTAAGAAAATGTGGCAGCAATTAAATAAGTGGACAAGGCTCTGTAAATTGCCTGGGACTAGTAGCTGTCTAATGGACAGGTTAGCAATGCATGTTAGGATATGCAAATAACGGAGACTTCTTTTTCACCACCAGACACGAACAGTTTAAAGTGGTAGGAGGTTCCTTCCTTTGGAAGAGATGTAAACCTGAGACCCTGGCTTCCTTGGTCATTAAAGGTCCCATGACACTGTTCATAAAAGTAGAGGTGTTAACCTTGGTGTGCTGTGTGAGGTTAGCCTCCTATACGATTTGAGTATAAATGAGACACACCTGGCTTAACTGGATAATTGACACTCAGTGGGTGGGACTCCACATGTGGAATAGAGTTCTGTAGGTAACTGACCACTTTGCTTGATAAGTGAGATGTTGTATATTACCCAGCCAGGAGGAAAAGGACAACTAGTCTGTGTCTAGTTGCGGGTAGGAAAGGAAGATGGTGCTTGTATGGGACTCCAGAAACCCCTGAAAGCACAGGTAAAGTCCTATGGGCTCCTGTGCTTGAACACCAGCAGAGGGGCATGTGTTGAGTGTGAAGGACAGAATGGCTGTGGGGGGGGGATACTTCTGTGTTTAGTTCAAAAGGTTCGTGTCTCACTTCTGGAAGGTGAAGTTGAGAAAACTGGGTGTGAAAGGTTAAACTGAGTTAAGATAATCGATTGTCTTTGTAGTAGAGGGACAATCCAGAGTTGCAGTTCAGAGGAATTCTCCTGTTCTGAATTGCTAAGACTCCTTAGGTTGACTGAGGAGGGAGAGTTAATTTGAAAGGGATATTACAGACTTCGCTACTGAAAATCTGTGTCAATAATAACTGGACAGAGTACTGGAATTCTCCACAGCTGGAATGTTTCTTTTCTTCTCTCTTCAGCATGGAATAAAGCTTTACTTGTCCCTTTGCAGCCTACGTATGATGAGGCAGCTACATACTCGAACTACTTCAGACCACTGGAATGTCTTGAAGCTCAGGAGGGTTCTGCCCACAAGACTCCATGATGGGCCACCCCAATGCCCACTCCTTAAGGTGATATGCTGACTGACTGCTTTGTGGTTGCTGGGGCACCTTCACTACAGTACATCCTGGCTAAATCCTACTCTGGGTTTTACGATCTGGCCTCCCTTAAGATTTCCCCCTTGTTTAAATTGGAGAAGCAGCTTCTCTCCTTCGCCTGATCTGCTGTGCGATAGGTAGCTGGTGCTTAATGACTGCTCTGTCACCCAAGTGGGGCTGCACTGTGGGGGTGGATGAGGGGGTCCCCTCATCATGTAAAGGAGGGGGGGTCTTTCAGGATGGAAAAATGCTGTACTGATGCAGGGAATTGGGCAGTGTTACAATCTTATTCTTTTTTTAAAAAAATATTTTGAAATCTGCCACTACCTCATAAACTAAGATGCCTGAAGAAGGCTCCACAGCCGAAATGTTGTTTCTTTTCCTCCTTTTTCAGCGTGGAATAAACCTTTACATGTCCCTTTGCAGCCTACGCATGCTGACGCAGCTCCCTACTTGAACTGCCTCATAAACTAGCCTCTTTGAGGTTAATTCTAACACTTACACTTTCTGCAAATCTTTCCCTTTGCAAATATGCTGAGTATGGGAGGCCATGTGTGCAATAGAAATGAGAGAAAAAAGCAGTTCTTTTCTGTTTCTCGTTTTTTCTTTATGGGAGTGATGGCACTTGTCAAGTTCGACATAGCTCAACATTAAGACAAAAAGCTGTGAAATTACCCAGAACGGTGCTGCTTTTGGCTGGGCTGCCTGTAATTAAATTCCCAAGAACCACTTAACTGTCAGAAACATCACTGACACAGGAAATGGGAATCTCCTTGTTTCGTGTACTGTACTGTATGCAAATTGTCTGCAATAGCAAAACGCAAGTTAATTAAGTACGCATGGTCCATCCTGTGAGTGTCAGTGCTGCTGCTTACACTGAGGGGTTAATTCTGCCATTGCAGATGACTAGCTAACCCTGGCTATCTGGCTTGTCCAAGAGGCACACGTCTCTGTGAGAAACAGGTGGAGATTTATTGGAAAAACAGTTTCCCTTTCCCAGTGACAAGCATTTCATATTTCTGTGCCCCATGACCTTGTCAAGTGGAGCATGTTGTGCTGCCTTTTAAGCTGTCAGACGAACATCAAATGTTAATACAAAACATCAGTAAATGAGATTTATGAAGATGGGGAAGGCAGTGCTCTGGAGGAATGACAATGAGGGGGCTCTCCCTCCCCTGGAGACGGCCTGCTGTGATCTGGAGCCGGGGGGGTGGGGGACAGGAGGCAAAGACAGAATGACACAAAGCCAGGCAGCGAACAGGAGGCACGAGGGGGTTTGAGGAGTTTTTTGATAAAATCCCAGAGGATATATTCACCCACCTCAGTGCCCCCATTTGTAAACTCTTGCTATTGGTCTGTTTTGTTTTTTTTTCCGAGACATGATTGTAGCCAGTCCCCACGTCACAGGGCGGAGGAGAAAAAAAAATTGATGGCTGGAGCCCATTTCAAAATGGAGACAGCGGAGGCTAGCCGAAACGTAAGAAATCAATAGAATAATCAAACCTTTCAAGGAGCACTTCAATTAACTCACAGTGGCCGCTCTTCTGACAAATGGCAAGTGACATGCGAGGCATTAATCACCCCACCTGTGCCCCCGGCTGGCCTGGTAATGCAGTAGGTTTGCATGGGGTGGACAGTGATGGGAGGCACTTATTTGTCATTGTCACAGCTGGAGATGAAATAGTGCATTTTTCTCCTCAGTGGCTTCCAAAGGGCTGATTGACACTGAAGAGGACCCCCCCAAAAAAAGACTAAAACACTAAGACTTCAAAGTAAAATGTTAGAAACCCAGTTTTCAGGTCAAAGGTACGCTGTTACTTGTACTGACAATGTTTTTTGGGGGGATAGTTTACAGCTGGGTTGAAGAATAATCGTTTTCTGAAATGCTTTTCTACTAGAACAATGGGGTAAATGTATCATAACTGCTCTGAGCTGTTGTCAAACCCATAATTGACTCTAATACGTAGATTTCAAATATTAGAGATTTAAAGTCAAGATTTACATTGACTTTAAATTAAAATCAAGGCTGATATGAATTAAAACATGAAGAAACGTGTATGATGGGGGATCTTATTCAGGATTTCAAACTCAAATTCTGAAGGATCATGTTCC